GAGAGCGAGAATTTTTTAATATTTATTTTTTTTAGTTATTGGCAGACACAACATCTTTGTATGTGGTGCTGAGGATCGAACCCGGGCCGCACGCATGTCAGGCGAGCCTGCTACCGCTTGAGCCACAACCCCAGCCCGAAATATTTTTGTTGTTGTTAAAAAAGAAGTGCTGGGGGCTAGTGTTGTGGCTCAGTGGTAGCGCGCTTGTCTGGCAGGCGCGGGGTCCTGGGTGCAATCCTCAGTACTACATACAATCAAATAAAGGTATGATGTCCAACTACAACTAGGACATAAATATTAAAAAAAAAAAGAAGAAGTGCTGGGGCTGGGGCTATGGCACAGTGGCAGAGCGCCCAACTCGGACATGTGAGGCACTGGTTTCAATTCTCAGCACCACATAAAAATAAATAAAATAAAGATATCGTGTCCATCTATAACTAAAAAATAATAATAATAAAGAAGTGCTAGTGTGGTTAAGAGGCTCCATGAACTCTTTCAGTGATATTTTTTTAATATTTTTTAAAATTTTTTTTTAGAGAGGTTTTTTTTTTTTTTTAATTTTTTTTTTTTTTTTAGTTTTCGGCGGACACAACATCTTTGTTTGTATGTGGTGCTGAGGATTGAACCCAGGCCTCATGCATGCCAGGCAAGCACGCTACCACTTGAGCCACATCCCCAGCCCAAATTATTTTAGATTTTTATGGCTTTTTTTTTTTTAATTTTTTTTTAGTGCCAGGATCGAACCCAGGGCCTTGTGCATGCAAGGCAAGCACTCTACCAACTGAGCTATATCCCCAGCCTCTTTCAGTGATATATTTACCTTTCCTGTTCTGTGTGATGTTGGACGGGTTTGGCCTGACTAGTACGTGTCCACTCTTTCGCAGTAATGTAATTAGCGGTCCTCTGAAATGTCTTTGCTGCTGATGCCGCTGCCCTCTTGTCTGTTTCAGGAAAGGCACAACGCCAAGACCGTGGGGGAAATTAAGCAGTTTGTTTCCCAGTTGCCCCACATGCAGGCAGCAAGGGGCTCACTTGCAAATCATACCTCGATTGCAGAGTTGATCAAAGACGTCACTAGTAAGTATCCTTTGACATGATCTTCCACCTGGAGCTGACTCCCATACACACTGAGGCTTCCTTGGGAAAGTCAGCGTTTTTTTCTCCTTCTGCACTGAGGATGCAACCCAAGGCCTTGCTCATACAAAGCTTGTGCTCTACCATTGAGCTACACACCCAGCCCAGTCAGCTGTTTTAACATCCTATGTTTCTCAGTAGTAAGTAAATGTGCACATTAGCAGTTAGTGATGACAAAATATTTAGAATATAGATAAGAGAAAAGATTTATGCATCCAGGTGCAGTGGCACACACCTGTGATCCCAGCAACTTAGGAGACTGAAGCAGGAGGATCACACAGGAGGCCAGCAACTTAGCAAGACCCTATCTCAAAGTAAAAAAAAAAAAGGTCTGGGGAAGTAGCTTAGTGGTAAAGTGCCCTGGATTCAATCCCCCTACCCTGTCCCCTGTCCCAAATTTATGCATAATATTGCTCTCATATTAATAGGCAGTTAATTTTTTTAGTCTATTTTTTTTTCCTATTGTGAAGGATTACTTAATTAGAACAATATGGTGTTTCTGGGGTTTTTTTTTTATTTTCTCTTGAGAGTATTCTGCAAAATTGGTACAGAAAGCCTGTGTTGAGTATTTTGAAAAAAGCTCAAATTTATACTAAACTGGATTTGAGTTTGTTCATTAAAAAATAGGGTTGTTGGGCTGGGGATGTGGCTCAAGCGGTAGCACGCTCGCCTGGCATGCGTGCGGCCCAGGTTCGATCCTCAGCACCACATGTTGTGTCCACCAAAAACTAAAAAACCAAATATTAAAAAAATTTTCTCTCTCTCTCTCTCTCTCTAAAAAAAAAAAAAAAAAATAGGGTTGTTGGGGCTGGGGTTGTGGTTCAGTGGTAGAGCATTAGCCTAGCACATGTGAGGCCCTGGGTTCGATCCTCAACACCGTATAAAAATAAATAAAGGTATTATGTCCATCTACAACTAAAAAAAAAATTTTAAATAGGTTGTAAACGCTGAGTAGGAGTAGGCACTACTCAGCGTTTACAACCTATTTAGTGCCTTCGATTATGAAGTATTCTTTGAATCTTAAACATTGTATTAGAAAATCAGTCCTTTGATTTTATGTTAACAGAAGTGGAAATCAAATTGGTTGAATCTGATGACAAAAGTGAAATGCTCTTGGGAAATGAGTTTTCATTAACTCATAATGCATTAATGATGCATTCCTGTAATCTCAGTGACTCAGGAGGCTGAGGCAGGAAGATCATAAGTTTGAGGACAGCCTCAACAACTTACCAAGACCCTAAGCAACTTAGTGAGATCCTGTCTCAAAATTAAAAAAAAAAAAAAAAGTGGGAATGTAGCTCAGTGGTAAAATGCCCCAGGTTTAATCCCCAGTATACTCATTGGCTGATGATTTAACTTGTGCTTGCTTTCTTTTTTGCATGTCCTGTTTCTTAATCACACCTTGTGTATAAAAGCAAACCACTTAAACAAATTCACATTTATTGAATTTCTGAGTTGAAAATTTGGTAATTATATTTTAGCTTCCGAAGACTTCTTTGATAAATTAACAGTGGAACAAGAGTTTATGTCTGGAATAGACACTGACAAGGTATGTAGACAATAAAACTGTTATTGAAATAGTTGAAAGTTTACCAAACATAAGATTGTAGTCAAATAAACAATTGCTTTGATACCTGTGCCTTGCCTAAATAATTTTATGAGCAAATGCAAAATGTGAAAATGTGGATTTTGTCCGGTAAAAATACTTAGCATTACTCTATGTAAGATACTTTGTGCAATACATGGTGAAATGGGATATGGTCCCTGAAATCCAAGATTTTTAAAGACTATAATAAGTAAATTAAGAAATTTGCTTTTGGGGGGCCAGGGCTGTGACTCAGTGGCAGAGCACTTGCCTACCATGTGTGAGGCACTGGGTTTAATCCCCGATACCACATAAAAATAAAAACAAAATAAAGGTATTGTGTCCATCTACAACTAAAAAGAAAAAACTTTAAAAAAATGATATTTGCTTTTGGGACTGTGGATTTAGCTCAGTGGTAGAGGGCTTGCCAGGTATGCATGAAGCCCTGGGTTCAGTCTGAAAAAAGCAAAAACAAGATATTTACTTTTTGAGAGAATTTGTTATATCATGACTTTATATATTCAGCCATAGGGGCTTAGTGTGTAGCTCAATGGTAGAGCATTTGCCTAGCATGCACAAGGCCCCGGGTTCAATCCCCAGCACCACCATCCCCCCCAAAATTCAGCCTTATTAATTTTCTAAATTATTCCATTTGTGAAAATTCCCATCTTCTAAAAATATTCCTGTTATTTTACACTAAATTGCTGCTTTTCTTGAGATAGGCTAGGTCCCACAAGTCCCAAACACTTGGCAATCTCTCAGGAGTTTGTCCACAGAAATAGACCTGTCAGGGCAGGCATTGGGACTGGCCACAGCTGTCTTCACTGCCTGGTGCTCCTGTAATTTGACCTGAGAACTGGTGTGTCTGTGTGGTGCCTGGGAGTGTGTGTGGCAGGGGCTGACACAGCTACCTCAGTCAGGATTGAGAAGTGAGAAAAAATAATGAGCCTTTCTCCTGCACATCTCCTTTCTTTAACTTAGAAAAATAATTCTAAACATCAAGTTCTTTAAGTCTCTAAAAGCAGCAGTCTATGTATATACTTTATTTCTAGGTCAACAATTACATAGAGGATTGCATTGCCCAAAAGCATCCACTGACCAAGGTCTTAAGGCTGCTCTGCCTCCAGTCAGTGTGCAATAGTGGACTCAAACAAAAAGTCTTGGATTATTACAAAAGAGAAATTCTCCAGGTAAGATATATTAAAGTCTTTTATTGGCCAATGGGGAAAGCAAAAAGAAAGTGACAAAATGGCTATTTTGGTATATTGCTACCACAATCTTAAATTTTAACACCTAGAGGAATTGTTCTGATTAACTATAGTTATTTATTGTATCTGATAGTAAGAACAGTAGCAAGCATTTACTGAGCATTTATTGTGTGCCAGGGCCTATCTGAAAAGCTTTATGAATACACGTTTGTTTAATTCTCACAACAGCCCGATGAGTTTATCATCCCCTGTTTGTGGATGAAACCTCTAAGGGATATACTAGTTTCATAACTGGCCCAAGGTCACCAGCTAGTAAATGTCAAAACCAGTGCCAAAACCCAGGCAATTTAGGCCTAGTGTTCATCTCAATGAGCCAGTTGCATGATGGAGAAAGATAACTTTGCAAATTTCTAATGACAGTTCCCTGTTACGGAACTGTTATCGGAAATAAACTGTTCCTTTATTTTTTTAAATAAATATAAATTTGTAGATGGACACAGTACCTTTATTTTATTTATTTATCTTTGTGAGGCTCAAACCCGGAGTCTCACACATGCTAGGCAAGCGCTCTGCCACTGAGCTACAACTCCAGCCCAAGCCTAATACTTTATAATAAGGAAGAAGTTCACTGTTGTTTTAATTATGTATGTATTTTCATTTTTTGGTTTTGCTTGTTTTATTTTTGTTTTTGTTTTGCTTCCTCTGCTATTTTAAGAAATCCCCCTGTTCAAAAATGTCTCAGGCAGTATTTATTTGCTGTTACCTGTCATTCTTAAATTTATTATCATTAAAATTAAGGACTCATTAATTTTTTTGCATTTGTCTTTTTTTGAGTTATACATAAAGCACACATATGCATTAAGATTCCAAGGGTGCAGAAATACATGGAGCAAAAGATGAACATCCCTCAGACCCATACACAGTCCCATGTCCCTCCTCAGATGTGTCCCATATCAGCCATTTGGTGTGGATCCTTCCAGTCTCCTATTTTCAAATGTATACAAAGTGCATTTATGTACATAGATGTCAGAGTGATACTGGCTGGATCTTGGCTCAGCTCTGCTTTTACTGGCTGTGTGACCTTGGGCAAGTTCTTTAAAAGTCTCAAATGAAGCCAGGAATGGTGGTGCAGGCTTGGTAATCCCAGAAACTTGGGAGACTAAGGCAGGAGGATCACAAGTTCAAGGCCAGCCTCAGCAACTTAGACCCTTGTTGGGGGCTGCCCTGAACAAGAGTTATGCACACATCTTTGAGTCTTTTTTTTTTTTAGAGAGAGAGAGAATTTTTAAATATCTATTTTTTAGTTTTCGGCAGACACAACATCTTTGTATGTGATGCTGAGGATCAAATCCGGGTCGCATGCATGCCAGGCGAGCGGGCTACTGCTTGAGCCACATCCCCAGCCCCAGCATCTTTGAGTCTTTAGTAAAAAGATACTAGATTGGCACTGTGCCCACTGCAATGCATGTAGACTTACCTCTGCTCGGCCAGGAGAGGTGCAGCCCTGGGATTGGGTGTTACCCAATGGAGTTGAGTTGCACCCACCTGTTGTAAACCTACCACTTGCCCTTTTTTGGATAGAATGTTCCATCGACTAGCTTCCCCCAATAAAAGCTGAGCTTCAGGACGTGCTCCTTCTCTCTCACCAGCCTCCTGTGTTTTTCTCTTGCCCACCTTGTGGGAGCTTACGGCTGGAAATAGAGAAGCCATCCTAAATGCCCAGACAAAGGTATTTTCCGTGTCTATGTGAATTGAATGTGTCAGCCCAAATTCACCTGAATGACCTTTCCATAGCTCACTCAGGACGTGGACTATAGACCCTGACTCAAAACTTAAATAAATAAATTAATAAATAAAAAGGGCTAGGGATGTGGCTTAGTGGTTAAGCACCTCTAGGTTCAGTCTCAGATACCAAATAAGTAACTCAAATGGAGATAATACCTACCTCCTGGTTTTTGGGGATTTTTTTTGTTGTTGTTTGAGACAGGTCTTGCTAAGTTACTTAGGGCTTCACTAAACTGAGGCTGGCTTGGAACTTGTGATCCTCTTGCTACAGTCTTCAGAGTTGCCAGAATTATAAGTGTGTACCATCATGCCCAGCTACCTTATGGGTTTATGAGGATGACTGAGCCATAAAAGAATACAAAGTGCTCAGGCCAGAACCATGCTCAGTTGACAGAAAGTATTTTTCAGGTTTTGGCTACTATTTATATCTTTTTTTAAAGGCAGAAATAAAATCCTACCATACATAATATTTTATTATTAACTCTTTTTTGTCCTTAAAAATATATTCATGGGCTGTGGTTGTGGTTCATTAGTAGAGCGCTTGCCTAGCATATGTGAGGCACTGTATTCAATCCTCAGCACCACATAAAAATAAACAAATGTGTCCATCTCCAACTTCTTATTAGAATGTGTAGATCTGCCTCATCCTTTTTTAGAGCTAATCATATACCACATATAAATATAATTTATTTGATGCTTACTTAGGTTGAGCCCATAAATTCTGACTGTAAAAATTTTAAATCCTGGGCTAGGGTTGTAGGTCAGTAGAAAAGCACTTGCCTAGCATGTATGAGGCCCTGGGTTCCATCCTCAGCACCACAAAAAAATAAATAAAAAATAAAGGTATATGTCCACCTACAAATATATATATATAATTTTTTTAAAAAATATTTAAATCCTACTTTGAAACAATGAGCTGCCTTAATATCAATGGACAAGCATGCCCTGTCCCCTGTGCTCATCAGGAGTTACTGCTGGACCTTGTTATTTTGTCTGAAGTACAGATCAAATCGATTTGTTCAAAGTGCTCTATTTTGAAAATTGAAGAAGCCCTTTTCCTGATCTGACATCAGGGCCAAATGATTTCTCTTACAGACCTATGGCTATGAGCACATACTGACCTTGTACAACCTAGAGAAAGCCGGCCTGCTAAAGCCACAGACAGGGGGCAGAAACAACTACCCAACAATTCGGAAAACATTACGCCTCTGGATGGATGATGTTAACGAACAAGTAAGATGTACTCCTCCACTTTAACTTCAGTCAGTTACTGGTTTCATAGTTTATTGTGACAACATATGCTACTTAATCTACACATCTGTCTTAATATTTTTTGAAAAAGTAATGCATTTGTGTGTTGTGTCCATCAGAATCTCAGGAGGAAACATAATGCTATCAAACTGGGGAGCCTGAGGATTAATAAAGATGTGGGCACCAGGCACAGTGGCACATACCTATAATCCCAGAGGCTCAGGAGGCTGAGTCAGGAGGATCACAAGTTCAAAGCCAGCTTCAACTTAGTGAGGCCCTAAGCAACTTAGCAAGACCCTGTCTCAAAAAATAAAAAGGACTGGGGATGTGGCTCAATGGTTAAGCCCCCTGGGTTCAATCCCTGGTACCTAAAAAAATAAAGATGTGAACCAGTAGAGACTAGTAGACCAACTGAGGCCTGAAGGGCAGAGAAGTTATTCTAGAAAGCTAGATGAAAACTGTAGAGAGACACATCCAGCCCCCAGAAGTATCACAGGTAGAAGGCAGGGAGGTACAAGCCTTGACCTCATGCTGCTGCCCACTCTCCAGCTGCCCTCCTCTACCCCTCCCCATGCAATTGTGCAAGCACAAACAGGGTGTGGGAGAGTGATGACATAGCACCTCCAGGCCATCTCCAGGGCACAGAGCTCTGTGGAGAAGGTTGGGGAACCTCAGGAGGTGTTGATGGGAAATGACCAGCAAGAATCAGTCAGTTAGCCACATGGAAGTAAGGTGAGCAGTGATGGGGAGGTTTCCTTCCACAGCTTACCCAGTTCCTGCAGAGTAAAACCACTGGAAGCAATTGTAATCTACTCTTCCAGAAAGATTCTGTGCACAAACATTTTTATGCTCCAAAGTAGCATATACATTTGTGTGAGTGTATGTGTGTGTGTGCGCACACATACATGAGCGCACTGGGGATCGAACCCAGGGCCTTGTGCATGCAAGGCAAGCACTCTACCAACTGGACTACATCCCCAGCCCGTGTATACTTTGCTTTACATTTGTTAGCTTTATTTTTATTATTATTATTTTTTTTACTAGTGATTGAACCCAGGGATGCTCTACCACTGAACTGTATCCCCAGTCCTTTTTATTTTTTGTTTTGAGACAGGGTCTTGCTAAGTTGCCAAGGCTGGCCTTGAATTAATGATCCTCCTGCCTCCGCCTCCCAAGTAGCTGGGATTGCAGGCATGTGCTACCATGCCTGGCTTCCATTTGTTATATTTTGTAATAGTTCTAAATTTTTTTTCTTATTGTCTTTTTTATTTGGTTGGTTGGTTTTTGTTTTCTAGGCTTTTGTTTGTTTGTTTTTTTCTGGGGGACTTTTTTGGGCTGCCTTTGTTAAGAAATGCTTATAACTAGTCTTCTCCATCAATAGCAAAATTGGCTCATTTTTTCCCCAGTGGGAAAATAGATACCCTTAATTTTTGCGTTGCATCGTGTGCATCATCTATTAGTTCAGCTCTCCTTACCATTCTTATCTTCCTCCCTCCAAACCCACCTATCACTTAACTAGAGATATTGAAGATGCTTCGGTGATCCTTCCTGTTCCTTCTCATTCTTTTTTATTTTTACTTTTTTACTTATCAAAATACTGAGTTTAGGGGCTGGGGTTGTGGCTCGGTGGTAGAGCACTTGCATAGTATGTGCAAGGCACTGGGTTCAATCCTCAGCACTACATAAATAAATAAATAAAGATATTATGTCCATCTACAACTAAAAAAAAATATTAAAAAATAAAATACTGAGTTTATTTCACATGTATATATTTTTGTTTCACAACTATTTCCATGTCTGAACACAACTACTACTATGTCCTATCATAACATTCCATATACAGTTAGTTAAAAACCAAGCAGAGGGTGGAGTTCCATCTTAAAAAATCAAACAGGCATTTTGGACAACACATTCTTGGCAGTGGAACCTGGATAACATTTATCAAACAGTAGGGAAAGTTCTCACTTTGCATTATAAAAGGACAGCCAGATATCAACTGTTGCAGAAATGAAATAAGATGGAAAATTTTAACAAACTATTTAGTATTAAAGAAAATTCCTCTATTGCCAGAGATCTTAAATAGCGTCCTGATCAGTCCACCATCTGGAAGCAATTCTTCACTTAATTGATGAACTTGGCTTCTCCACTTTGGGAAGAGAACCACCTTTTTCTATATTTGCTTGCATTTTTGCATTAATATCTTCTACAGAACTAGGAAGTGCTGTCCCCTAATATGCACAGGACCCAAACCACACTTCCAGTTTAAGTCCACAGGTGGTATAATATCAAAGCCCCCAAGAGAAACTGTGCTCATTTTCATCAGTATCCACCTTAATGTGATAATCTTTGTCAGCCTTTAGCTGAAAAGATAGTTCTGGGTCCTCAAGGGGCTCATGTTCTTGTCCATTGAATCTTCCATGCATGCATTTAGGTGAGAGAGAAGAATGGAAAATACATGACTGTTTCCTCAGAGAACAGATGTGCAGGACAGAATCACACCAGTCATTCTTTTTCATTGCTACTTAGTGAGCTTTTGATTTGTTATTTGTTTGGTACTGGGAATTGAACCCAGAGCTTTGCACTTTGCTGAGAATACACTCTACCACTGAGCTACATCCTAGTCCCCACAGGGTGGTTTTAAGCATATTTCTTATTTTGTGATTTAACAGATTCCTAAGATAGAAATTTTGGCAGTTTGAAGCCTTTTGCAATTACTGTGTTACAATCAATATGGTTTTTTTCTTTGGTTTATCTCTAATGGTCTAAAAGCACCTCTGTAGGATAAATGCCTAAAAATATAATTGCTAGGTTCAAAGGTTTGTAGGCATTATTATTTAGCTAAAGTGTCATGGTACCATCTAAGAAATTTTTTGGCAAATCAAATGATACTTATTCATTTTCAATACCCAGAGTTTCTTTGAGTGAATTTTCAAGATTTGAGTCAAAATGAAGTCCTAGCTGGCGAAACTGAAGTCCATTTGGGGTGGATTGGAGCAGGGCATGGGTGAGAGAGTTGTGTTTCTGCTTTCAAATCAGGTAATTTGGGGCTCCTCTAAAGATACCAGTGGCTCTGAATCTCTATCTCTAGATGTTATTTATTTATTTATTTGACAGAATCCTACAGACATATCCTATGTGTACAGTGGTTATGCCCCCCTCAGTGTGCGACTGGCTCAGCTGCTTTCCAGGCCTGGCTGGCGGAGTATTGAGGAGGTTCTTCGTATCCTCCCAGGCCCCCACTTTGAAGAACGGCAGCCACTGCCCACGGGACTTCAAAAAAAACGTAAGTCTCAGTCCAGTGTCTACAGATAATTATGTGCCATTAGTGTGGTTTTCATGTATTGTGCAGCTGCTTTGTAAAAGACATTTGTAAAGTACTTAGGTATCAGAGTCAAGTGTACCTCTTCTTTTACTTGCTAATGTATATTGTTAGTTGAGCCATGTTATTCTCTTGGGAGGAGCAGCTCTCAGTCTCCTCAGTGAGGCTCTCGGGAGTTTCAAAAAGCATTAAGATTAAAATCAGTGTTCCTGAGTTTTACATGAGCTGTCTGTACTAAGACATATTTGACCTTTTTATTCTTATGAGTTTTGAAAAATCTATTAAGAGGCAGGAAGAAAGGCACCAATAATAATTACTTCTGAATTCTGAAATGTTTACATTTTAGGTCAACCAGGAGAAAACCGAGTTACTCTGATATTTTTCCTCGGGGGTGTAACCTTTGCTGAAATTGCTGCCCTAAGGTTTCTCTCCCAGTTGGAAGATGGAGGTACAGAGTATGTAATTGCCACCACTAAACTAATGAATGGAACTAGCTGGATAGAGGCTCTAATGGAGAAACCTTTCTAGGGTGTTCAAAGGAGACTTCAAAAGTGCACTACAGAATAAGCTGCCTTTTGAACAAGTTGCTGAAAGGAAGTGAACCCACAGTAGAAACAGGAATACAGAAGTTACTTTGTGTTTTGCTTCTTATACTATTTTTTGTTCCTTTTCTCCTTTCTGCTCCTCTGTGTTCATAATTTCTTGAAGAAAGAAGAAGGAAATTAACCTGGGTAAAAGAGACTTTGGTTTTGAATTTTCTAAGTTCAGTATCTTCATTATAGGACTCTGGAAATGCAGTAAAGATGGTGGGACTGGATAATCCATATAGCTACACAAATGGGGACAGCTCTTAAAATAAGAACACAGACACTGTGGAGGTAAACATGAAAATAGAAGGGGAAGTCCAACTTCTAGTCTACAGTTTTATATTTTTAGGAAACGCATCAGGCCTAGGATAGTGGTTATGTCTTGAGGGCTAGAGCTTAATGTTGTCCTTAGTGATTTTTTTTTCCTGTAGAGGAATGGCACATTATAATTGTGTTTTCAATTTCTATCTTATTCCTAAGGCAAGTTTTGTTTCCTTCTTAAAAATCAAGAGATTTTAGGGAGCTTCTTGCCCCAAAACACAAAATTTATACTTTCTCTGATCAGCTACATCTGTGTAGGTTCCATACTTATCAAGGGCTTTCTATTTCTACACTGAAAAATATAATAATTGGGGAACAGTTTCCAGAGAATTTAACCACTCCAGGACTCTCCAAGACACTTCAATGGTAGATGCCTCTGTTGAGGTTTTGGTTTTCTTTCCTGTCCTTCATGGGCCCAACATCTAGTTGGTCCCACCGTGAGCAGTGGTGACTCTTGCTTCATCAGCATACTGAACCTCCACCCCTGTTACCAACTACTCTGTGCACTTCTGTAGCTCTCAGTGGCCACTTTCATCCATTTTGCTTGAAAATATCCAGTTTGGTTACAGTCCTTGATCTGGTGACCTCAGCTGCCCCTGGTTGATTTCATTGATGAGATCTGGTGACCTCAGCTGCCACTATTCCTACTGAGGACTGTTAGCTGTGCTGGAGAGTAGGGATGTGAGTGGAGAAGTTCGAAGTTCATATGTGATCCCTGCCTCTCTTCTGCTAATCCCAGCATCTGGGGGAGTTAAGGGTACCATGCAGGGGACCAAGTTGGTGGCTTTTCTGCCATTGCCCAAGTTTCCAGCAAAATTACTTGGTCAACCAGGAGAAAACCAACCTGAGGAGCTTTGCCAGATTCCATCCCTGGTGTGGTTTCTATCATTAATTATTAATCACATAGGTTCTTCCCTTACCTTTTTCAGTAGTAGGATTCTGATGAGTACGGTGCATGTTACGCGTAAAAGAAAATCTGTATTTAAAAAAAAATTAGTAAAATAACGAAGGGTGCCAGAGGTGATGTTTAAAAGATTTGTTTCTCATGGAATTAATCTGGCCTTGACATTCATTATTTGGAAACAGAAAACCATTCTTGTTTTAGAAAATCCTTTTTCAAATCCTTGTTATTCCAGGGAGATTAGTTTATACTTTGGAGCCCTAACAGTTGTCCAAGACTCAGCTCCTTTAGAGAATGAAATCTACCTTGTCCCTCCATGGTTTTGGTTCATGAGATTCAATTCAGGTCTGGTCGAGTCTCCTTGGCTGGGGGTTCTGTTCTGTGAACAGACACTCAGTTGTAATCTCATGTGTCTGCATTCACTTGTGACTGCATTTGCTTACTCAGAGAATAGCTAGGTCAGCATCTAAAAATGCATTCAACATTGATGAGACATCAATTATTTCATTTGTATGCAAAGAAAAAGTGGTGGATAATTACATATTATATGTGTTTATGGACATTTATTTAATACTTGAAATTGTCTGAGAAAGGATATGTGAATGGCACATTTATTCTCAGAGAAGCAGATTATTTACATCGGGTCTGGATTTTTGTCTATTGGATAGACAGTGTCCCTTTAATAAAGAAGTCTACATGGATAACCACTTTTTGTGGGGGTTTTTTTTTTTTTTTTGTTTTTTTTTTTTTTTTTGGTACTGAGGATTGAGTCCAGGGGCACTGGACTTTACCACTGAGTTAGATCCTCAGCCTTTTTTATTTTTCATATTGAGACAGGGTCTTATAAGTTGCCCTGAATATGGAATCTTCCTGCTTTCCACTTTCCAAGCTGCTAGGATTATAGGCATAGGCCACCACATCTGGCTTAAGTAGATAATTACGTATAATTCTTATACAATTGTGAATTTTACCCAACAGAGAAATAAGTATTTTAACTGTGGAGCAAGAGAGTAATGGTTAAGAGAGGAAAGATTAAAAACTGGACATGTCAGGGCTGAGAGTGTAGCTCAGTTGGTAGAGCACTTGCCTACCATGCTCAAGGCCCTAGGTTCAATCCCCAGAGCCACCAAACCAAACCAAAAAAAAAAAAAAAAAAGGATGTGGCTCAGTGGTTATGTGACCCTGGGTTCAATCCCTGAGGCCACCAAAAAAAAAAAAAAAAAAAAAAACATGTAATTTTCATTCTTGGAGAGAATTGAAAAGGTCTGTTGAGTTTTGTTCCATTCTACTCCCACTGGAAATGAATTTTCATTAATCATGACATGCTGGTTTATGTCTTATTCTCAATTGTACATTACAGACTAATTGGGTTTACTGTTTTGTGTCTTATACAGTTGCAAATTTTATCCAACAGGGAAATAAGTATTTTAACTGATTTAATTGAGGAGTAAGAGTGTAACAGTTAAGAAAGGAAAGATTAAAAACCAGACATTCAAGGATTGGGGATGAGTGAAGCTCATTGGTAGAGTGTGTGTTAGCATGCAGAAGGCCCTGGGTTCAAGCCCCAGCACCAAAAAAAAAGGCCTATCACTCAACAGAAGCACAGAAGTGTTTGTATTCATCAGCTGAATTCAAGCAAAAATACTTTTTTAGAAAATACTAAAATACTAGGTGACTAAAGTAGGCAGGAAGAGAGGCTGTGATAAAGATAGCAAGGCACAGGAAAGCAGGCCTCACAGACCATCTGTAGATGATGAAGTGTACTCTAGATAGTATCTGATGTATTCAGTCCTGTGTTTTGTTTGTTTTGCACTAGCAGGGATTGAGCCCAGGGATGCTCTAGCACTAAGTTACACACCCAGCCCTTTTTGATTTTTTACTTTTGAGATAGGGTTTTGCTAAGTTGCCAAGACTGGTCTCAAATTTGAGATCCTACTGCCTCAGCCTCCCAAGTGGCTGGGATTTTAAGCATACACCACCAAACCCAGCAGGGTTTTTGTTTTGTTTTGTTTCCTATGTGTGCATGTGTGGTGCTGGGGTTTAAACGCATGCGAGGCAAGCACTCTACCAACTGAGCTATATCCCCAATGCCTGACCCAGCAGTCTTATGGTCTAATCACATACTATGAAAATAGAGAATGCTTTTTTGTCAGAAAATTGAAGGAAAGGGCAATGATATAAAATTTCTCAGATTCTAACTTTTAAACAAATTTATGTGGATTTCATGTCATGTGGCCTTTCTTAGCTTCAATTACTCCACTTCTGTAAATACCCCAAATTGGGGGCTGGGAATGTGGCTCAAGCGGTAGCGTGCTCGCCTGGCATGTGTGCGGCCCGATTCGATCCTCAGCACCACATACAAACAAAGATGTTGTGACCGCCGATAATTAAAAAATAAATATTAAAATTCTCTCTCTTTAAAAATAAATAAATAAATACCCCAAATTGGGGGGTGAGTAGAGGCTGCAAAGTTTAGATCATGTAACTGTCTTGACACAGCCATTTGAAGGATATAAGAGCTTAAAAGCACACAAAATAGGTCCTATTTTGAACAGCCCGACTTTTTTATCTTATTTGGAATGGGGCAAGGTTATAAATCTCAACCATCCTTTCTTTCCTCTGACTAGGTTAAGACATTGAAGCCCTTCAGATGACCAATTCTCTGGGGGAGCAATTACTACTTCCTGAGCAGCTTGATAATGTTCTGCTCCTGTTTTTAGCTAGGCTGTGGCCAAGGCAATGATTTGATAATAAGAGATCCTGATTAAATTAAGGAGCCATTTGCTCCTGAATGATGATGTTTATAAAATGGTTGATATCCACAGTATCTGCTTTTTCAAAGGTCAAAAAAGTCTTTAACTAAAATCTAGTATAAGCAAAATAATCAGAAGCAGCATAAAGTTTATACTTTTCCTTGTTACCTCTGGGAAAATGCTCTTTGCTTTCCTACCTGGCTCCTTTAGCCTCACATTTGGAGGCTTGAAATTGGAAACAGATGCCTGGGAAGATGCCTGTGTAAGGAGTCTGTAAACTGCTAAACTCTTCGTAAATTAGAGTCTAGTACTCTGGAGCTCTTGGTCATCTAAGCTTGGTTTTCACACGCACTGCATGCTCTCCCATATTTTAAGGCAATGGCTTTCCAGATTGAGTAGATGGGACTTGTTTATTAGAACTATTGGCACCATAGTCCACCTAAAGTGTTTAGGCTAGCAAGACAAGAAGAGGCTTGAAATACCCCCTAGTGTATTGCTTATTGAGCCCATTTGAGCCAGGAATTTTGCAAACTCCTGTGGAGCCCTGTGGGCCATGGAGGTGACACAGGCAAGGGCAGACAGAGTTGCCAGTGCCCCGCCTGGCCTGGGGATTGCCTGCGCAGCTTCCTGAGAGCTCAGGGACCACACCGAGGTTGTAATTGGTCGCTAGACCACACCTAGTTGTTGAGAGCGGTTGCTGCCTGAAGACCTCACAGCTCTGCTCAGATCGCTGGAGTGTGCAGAAGCCAACCTTTAGCACCAGAACAGAGAGGAGCCACAAGCTGCGACGGTGGAGGAGTCGTGGAAACTTTGCCAAGTGAGTGAAATGGGGAAAGAGGGAAGCTAATGGCTGGCACTGAGGGGAGCTGCTAGGCAGGCAGCAAAGGAGGTAAAAAGCTGCTTTGATTCTTGCCACTGGATTCTGTCTGAGGTGAAGTTAGGAGGGCTGGGACAGATGCACAAGACACGGTGGAAGGGAGACAAGCCCAATCAAACTGATGCTCCAGCAATCAGTTTGGCACCCCAGCAATCCTGGCTGGCCAGAAGACAAGCATGCTGGACTACAAAGCAAAGATCCTCAAAGTCTGCTATTGAGAAGCCTTGGGGCCAGGGAAATGGCAGAGGGGCTACAGTGAGGGCCTGTGCCTTCCCTTCCTTCCCAGGGCTGCAGCTTGAGTGATGGGAAAAGCAAGCTTTACTCCACAAGCCCATTAGTGGCACCCGCGGCATTAAAAATTCAGGAGTAGGAGAGGGCTGGGGCTGGAAAAGGCCAGGGTTTTGCCTCCTAGGAGCCAGATCTGAGCGGAAGAATGAGAGCGACTTTTGCTTTAGAAGCAGCTCTCCACTGCAAATGCAAAGCGGAGGGTGTTTGGGAGGAATTGGCACTGTTGGGGTCTCAGTTTGAGGTCCAGAACCTGTTTTCTGCCACAACCCCTGCCCAGGACGGGGCTGGCTAGGGAGCTGTCCTCTGCGATCTCAGGGTCTTTCCACGGCTCCCGCAGAGCAATGCCGGCGTCGTCCACCATCCACGTGCTGCAGGTGCTGCGGGAGCTGCTCGCCTTCGTTCTCCTCAGCTACACGGTGCTCATCGGGGCGCTGCTGCTGGCCGGCTGGACCACCTACTTCCTGGTGCTGAAGTGACAGCGCCGGCGCCCCGCCCCCACCGGGCACGAATCCGGCGCTGCTCCGCCCCCGTCGGAGGACGGCTGAGCCCAGCGGGACCGGCTAGCCAAAGAGCTCTGCGCCTGACGCGCGCGCCCAGGTTGCCCCTCGAGGGGCGGCCTCAACCCAAACCCCGACCCGTCGCTCGCGTCACCACGCGCGACTCAGCTCAGCGACTTCTGGTCCAAGGCGTTCCCCGCCCCGCGCGGAATCTACAACGGTTGCGTGGCCGTTACAGCCGTTGCCCCGGGCCCCGCCCCCTCGCTCCCCATCTGTCCAATCCTAACTGCTTCCTCGGGTGAGGGCGTGGCCATGGGGGCCAGGTCCTCTCAGGTGAAGGAGGCGGTGCCCCGCCCGCCGCTCGCGATGCTGCGTCACTTCCGGCGTGTGCGTCCGGCGTCCTCCCGCCGCAGGATGGCGGCTCTGAGGAGTTGGCTCTCCAGAAGCGTAGCCTCCTTCTTCAGGTACGGCTGCGGTCGTGGACTGGGGCAGAAATGGAGGACAGGCGACGCAGAGAACATTATGCCGGGTCGGAAGCGCCGGCCTTGGTGCGCGCTCTTCCTTTGGACGCGGCGTCCCGCCCCCCTTTGAAGCCCAGTAGGGCTCGGGCTCCGCCTCCGTCTTCGGTTGCGCCTGGGTCCAGCTTCACCTTCTTCTTTTCTATTACTCCGGCTCCCGAAAGCGAGTTCCCCCAGCCCGGGCTGATGTCCCATCAGTCGGACGGCGTCCCGAGGGGATCGAGAGACGGACTGGGGAGGGAGGGAGAAAAAAGTGGAGGACGTCGTCTCCGCGGAGGGCGCGCGCCAGGAGGCGACGTCCGACCTGTCTGCTCGGGGCTTTGCTTTTGCGTACTGGGGACCAAACCAGGGGCTCTCCCGCTCAGCCACAGCCCTTGTTATTTTCTGTTTTGCGACAAGGTCTCGCCAGTTTGTCCAGGCGATTCTAGCCAGAGCTCTTGGGCAAAGCTAAATCCTGCTTGCAGGAGTTTATTTTGGCATCAAGTTTGTAGCAGTCTTGAAGCTACATTTCAGACTTCCGCACCTGATGGAAAGCTCCCGACCCTTGGCCCAAGGCAGGGGCTTTCCAGGCCCCAAGCCTCCCACTGTTCTGACACACTTAGTGTCACTTTTAGGCTACTTTCGCGTCCTGCTTGGCCCGGTTTGCGTTTCCAACCCTTACAAATAAGTCATAGAGGCTTTTTACAGATTGATGGTCGCACTTTATTAAGTTTGGCTTCTATTTCTAGGTACCGACAGTGTGTTCCAGTTGTGGTTAATTCTAGGAAACGCTTATTGATAAGACCATGGCACAAAACGGTGGCGGCTGCGTTTGGTGTAACCTTGTGTGCAGTTCCTATTGCTCAGGTGAAGTACTATCATGTGACTGTTTCTTAGCGGTATCCCTTTGAAGTCTCAAGTGAACATCAGTCAAACTGCTGTAGTTACAACCAGTCTTCCCAGTCCCCCACATGATGCTGTTTATTGTGCCAGCATTTTCTTTTCCGAGTTGAGCAGGTACATTGATGTTAACATTTTTTTTATTGTCTCATTTTATAGGAACAATACCTCAAGTTGCATATGAGTAGAGTGAAATAAAATATCATATGTCAACAAAATAATAATTCAAAAATTTAATGAAAAACTTGTGTGTGTCATATACTGGGAATCTGAAAATGAGCAAAAACAAACCCTGAAATTCCTGTTGTCATAAAATTTACATTCTGGGAAGATAGAAGAAAAGAAGTATAAAATGTATGCTGGTGATAAGCACTCTGAAGAAAACAAATAGTAAATGGGGAGTATACTAGGAGGGAATTGTTTATTATTATTTACAGATGGGTCAAGAAAAGCTACTCTGATAAGGTAAAGTTTAAGTATTAGAAATCTGAATTATGATTAGAAATATTATACTATCCAGTGGAGGGAAGAGACTGCCAGGCGGAAGGAATTGTTAGGTGCAAAGACCTAAAAGTATAATCCTAACTACTCTGGAGACTAAGGTGGGAATATTGCAAGTTTTTGAGGCCAGCCACAACAACTTAGGAAGACCCCGTCTCAAAACTAAAAGGTCTGGCGTTGTAACTTGGAGGTAGAGCACTTCAGGGTTCAATTCCCAATATACCAAAGTGGAGGGGGAGGGGGCTAGAAGCAGTAATATACTGGGTGTTTGTTTTGGTACCAGGGATTGAACTCAAGAGCACCACTAAGCCAAATCCCCAGCCCTATTTTGTATCTTATTTATAGACAGGGTCTCACTGAGTTGCTTAGTGCCTCGCTTTTGCTGCGGCTGGCTTTGAACTCAAGATCCTCCTGTCTTAGCCTCCCAAGCCGCTGGGATTACAGGTGTAGGCCACTGCACCGGGCTTATGCTGGTGTTTTTGAGGAACAGTAAAGATGCTAATGTCATCTGGAATAGAATGAGGACGTAAGTTAATAGGTAAGGCCACAGGATTAAGTTTGGATCAAATTGTGTGCTTTGTACTTTGTGGACTATTGTAAAGCTTTGAATTTTATTTCTGAAAAAGCCACAGGGTATTTTTATTTTTTATTTTGCAGAATTGGGGACTGAACACAGGAGCACTTTTAAAAACCTGAGCTACATCCCCAGTCCTTTTTATTTTTTTTGAGATAGTCTCTCTCTAAATTGTAGCAGTTAACCTTGAACTTTTGATCCTCTTGTCTCAGCCTCCCAAATCACTGAGATTTGAGGCATGCACCACCACACCTGGCTAAGATTTTGAAAATGCCTAAGCATCTGAAAGAATAGAGTTGCCGTGTACTAGATGAAGAGGAAGGATGTAGAAAGAGAAAAAGAGTTCTGTTTTAGAAATCTCAGTCTGAGATGTTCAGTAGAAATTTAGGTAGAACTGTCAAATAGGCAGTTGATATGAAAGTGGCACCTTGGGGCTGGGATTGTAGCTCAGTGGAGGAGCACTTGCCTAGCATGTGTGAGGCACTGGGTTCCCTCTTCAGCACCACATATAACTAAATAAAACAAAGGTCCGTTGACAACTAAAAATAAAATTAGGACTGAGGATATAACTTAGTGATAAAGTGCTCACCCAGATGTGAGGCCCCGAGTTCAATCCCCACCACCAAATAAATAAATAAATCTAACTCATTCTGTACTCCAGTGGCCTAGCTAGTCTTTTTCTTTTTGGTATGGAGGATTGAACTCCGGGCACTTAGCCACTGAGGCACATCCCCTCTCCCTTTTTTATATTTTATTGAGTTCCTTAGGGCCTCCTTAAGTTGCTGAGACTGGCTTTGAACTGTTGCTCCTCCTGCCTCAGCCTCCTGAGCTGCTGGGATTTCAGGCATACACCACTGCGCAGGGACCAGTCTCTTTTCTCTTATGCCAGCCAGCCCTAGATATTGGACAATCCCTTCCATGTGTAACAAATGTATTTTTTTTTTCCTCATTTGTTCTTCCTATGATGCTTGACCATTCTAATCCTAGCTGTCTGCAATATCAAGTCCTATCTATAAAACCTGTCGTAGTTTCTGGCCAAAACCATCCCTCTTTCTGGCCACTTAACATGTATATTTTGATATCTGATGATAGTCTCCATGACATTCTACTTTGTCTGCAGACCATAAGGGAAAGGGACTGAGGGCTACGTGTGTGACTTTGAAAATGTTACTTAAGTTCTGTGAGCTTCCATTTAATCATTTGTAAAAAAGAAGTCATACCTGCAGTGTTGTGAGGAACAAGCAAAAACACATTGTAAAATTAGCAAAATGTGGCTGTGTGCAGTGGCACATGCCTATAATACCAGTGACTCCAGAGGATCCCAAGTTTAAGGCCAGCCTAGGAAATTTAACGAGGCCCTAAACAACTTATCAAGACCTTGTCTCAAAATAAAAAGGACTGGGGTTGTAGCTCAGTGGTAGAGCACTTGCCTAGCACGTGTGAAGCACTGAGTTCGATCCTCAGCACTACATATAAATAAATAAAACGAAAGTATTTTGTCTACAACTAAAAAAAATTAAAGAAAATTTTAAAAAATGGATTGAGGATGTCGCTCAGTGATAAAGCACCCCGAGGTTTAATCCCCAGTACCAAAAAAAAAAAAAAGAAAAAAAAAACCCAGCATATTCTGTAGGCTTAAGTTAATTGGTATATTATGTCAAAATTAGTTTCTTGGAGCTGGGGCTCAGTGGCAGAGCACTTTCTTAGCATGTATGAGGCACTGGATTCAATCCTTAGCACATGTAAAAATAAATAAATAAAATAAAGGCATTCTATCTAACTACAAAAAAATTTTTTAAAAAAGGAAATTAGCTTCTTGTGAGCCAATATGTCATTTTTCTTCCCTTTGTAACTTCCCAATACATGTACATGGTAATTACTTGATTGAAAGATGTAGATAAAATTGTTATTTTATCTATAAGAATGTTTGTTCATTTGTTCATGTATCAAAAATTATTTCTTGGGCTGCAGCTGCACGTGATGGCACATGCCTGTAATTCCAGCGGCTCAGGAGGCTGAGGCAGGAGGATCTCAAGTTTGAAAACATCGTCAGCAATTTAGCGAGACCCTGTCTCAAAGTAAAAAAATGAAAAACGGGTTGGAGATTTGCTTAGTGGTAGAGTACCCCTGGGTCAGATACTCCGCCCCCCCTTCTCTCTCTCTCTCTCTCTCTCTCTCTCTCTCTCTCTCTCTCACTCTCTCTCACACACACACTCACAAGTACTTTGCTCTCTGGAATGGAAAATGGGGGAAAAAATAGAAGGCACACTTTTTTTTTCCTCTGTATTGCCTAAAATAGCCATCATAAAGCCTAAAATAAAAATTAGCCCAAATAAGTATAGCACAGTTGCAGTGTATAAGCAACCATGAGAATTGTTTTTTCTTGGCTGTCCTTGATGAAGTTCTCAGCATGAGATTTATTTTATATAGGTTGGAAGTCAAATGATAATGTTTGTGTCTTTCAGAAATCAGAGCCTCATTCTCTTAGTAATGAAGCATTAATGAGGAGGGCTGTGTCTTTGGTAACAGATAGCACCTCCACCTTTCTCTCTCAAACCACATATGCATTGATTGAAGCAATCACTGAATATACTAAGGTAGGTCTCTTGCTAAATCTTTGATATTCTCAACCAGTTGTTTGCAAATTATGGCTCACAACCTAATCTGGTGGGATGTTTATTTTATCAGAACTTAGCCCAGCTCATAGGCATTGTCCTTGAGTAGTTTTAGTCCTCTGTTGAAGCCTAAAATATTTACTGTCTAGCTTTTACCAAAAAAAAAAAAAAAAAAGCTGCTTGAGTCTTCATTAATTTTTTTTTTATGCTTTTTGTAGAATTCCCCTCCTTTTTTTTCCCCAGGGGTGGGGGTGGGGTGGGGAATTTATAGTAGCCCTATATATAAAACATGCTCCAAGATAATCTGGTTCAAAAAGGGATAAAAGGGCCCAAAGTCTACCATCAGAGGTTACCCTGTGAGGATTGTTTTAAAACCACTTATTAGAGCTAAAAGAAAAGCGTATATGGGTATTTAAAAGCAGCCAACTAGTGTGATATCTACCTGTAATCCCAACTAAAGGGACTGAGGCAGGAGGGTAGACCCCAGGAATTGGAGGCCAGGCTGACTAATGAATAACATGGACCTCATCTCAAAAAACCTTTTTTTTTTTTTTTTTTTTTGTAAATGCCTTATTTACATGTTTATTTTGTAAGTACTTTTTTCCCCTCAACCTTTTGATTTTTCCTCTACATTGTTTTCTCTTTGCATCTGAATTGCTAGCATGTTTTAAAATACACACATTTTAGGTAAAGATATAACTGTTCTGGAATGATGCCTTTATTTCTTAAGAGTAGTGTATTTTCAGTGAGGCACAAGGACTGGAGAGCCAGTTTGTTAAAATGGGACTTCACCTCTTTGAGGTATAAATATCACTAATCCTTCTAATGTACCTCACTCACTTTACACAGATTTATTTATTCTGTATTTGTAGGCTGTGTATACCTTAATTTCTCTGTACCGACAATATACAAGTTTACTTGGGAAAATGAATTCACAGGAGGAAGATGAAGTATGGCAGGTGATTATAGGAGCCAGAGTTGAGGTAAGCAAAAGATTGTCAAGCATTTCTGTATTAGTGTTCCTACCTCATTATGATGACCAAATTATTGGATTAAAGTGTCTAATAAACTATTCATTCTAAATCTGCTAGTTTGAATAAATCCATTTAACTCTTTGTATTGCCTAAAGCTTTTTGCTAACTTTACAGATGACTTCAAAACAACAAGAATACTTGAAGCTTGAAACCACCTGGATGACTGCAGTTGGTCTTTCAGAGATGGCAGCAGAAGCTGCATACCAATCTGGTAGGTTGAAGGGTTTTTTTGTTTTGTTTCTTATAAGGGAAGTACCAGTTGATTTTTCATCTAGCTGTAAGATTAGAGATTTAGATTAGATGATGTAATTGATGACCATTATTTAGCTTTGAGAAATTTTCCCCATTTCCAAAATAACCAATATTTTATTTGCATATTAGGACAATTGACCACCCTTGTAGCTAGACCAGTTAGGGAACATGACCCCAAGAGGGACTCACATGACAGCCTCAGGGCCCCAGGCTTTCCTTGTGTCCATATGTGCCTTCTACCCTGCTCAAGCAGTTGTCCCATGTTTTGGCAGGAGCAGATCAGGCCTCTATAACTGCCAGGAACCACATTCAACTGGTGAAATCGCAGGTGCAGGAGGTGCGCCAACTCTCCCAGAAAGCAGAAACCAAGCTGGCTGAAGCACAAACACAGGAGCTACACCAGAAATCACAAGAGGGAAGGGACGAGAGGGCCGACCAGGAACAGGAGGCCTACCTGCGTGAAGATTGAGGGCCCAAGCTGGCTGCCCTTTCTACCCACTCATGGGGAAAGCAGAGGTGGATGCCATCCACCCAGCACAGTACAATTCTCTCTGCACAGAGAAGAGGCGGCAGGCCCTACCCTGGCCTATCAGGCCAGAAGCCTTTGTGAGCTCTGAATGCCTGGCCCTTTCCCCTATGGTCTCAGCTTTTACTGGACCTGGTTGTTAGTCCATGGGCACTGTATGTGCCCTGTTTAACCTTGCACCCCCCTCGGCATACCTGCTCTCTCATTTTTAACCTTATACCCAAAACATTTCACCGGCAAGGGCCAGAGAGGGGTCTTTTAGTCACTTAAGTTCAATAGCTGTTTAACCTCAGTTTCAAGCTTACTCAGATTTTCAAATATGATTTAGTATTTATTCCCTCCATAGGAGTTTGAGTTTGGTGGGGAAGGGGAGACTGTCAGGTTTTTAAGATTGCTCTTTAAGCATATGTAATGCCTTCTCTGATATGGCCTTACCACCAGCTCCTTGGACAGGTAAGGCCAAGGAGCCAAGAGTGTAACTGTGAAGGGATTGAATGCAGAGTGTTCACCTGGTGCTCCCAACAGGACTTAACACATGCTTCTTGTGTTTCCTTCTTTGAGTTTCTCTATTATAGCCAAAGGAGAATATATATATTTTTTTCCACTTAATTTGTGTGTGTCTTCTGGGGCCCTATGCAGTCATTTTCCTTCATTGCCCATTGCAGAGCCCCAAAGGGCCCTAGGGATTCCCCCCATGGGTTTCTGGCAGTGTTTGCTAAGTTTTGTCTCTCATCCAGCTAATGCTGAATACACTGTTTTAGCATGTTTTTTTTTTTTTTTAATTTAAAAAAATTTTTAATTGTTGATCTTTGTTTATATGTGGTGCTGAGGATATATATATGTCTGTGAGTGGAGCCCCAGCCCCAAATTTTAGCATTTTTAAGAGAGCTAACAAGATAGGAATGGTTTGCAAAAATGAAATCGGCATTTCTTTTAGACCCTCAAGGATCCGTTTTTGAGGTTTTCAGTTTGTCTTCATGATAGAGAATCAACTGAGTCAACTCTAGGGCTGTCACTTCACTCACTCCTCAGTACTGAAGCTTGAGGGTAGCTGCACACTTGAGTCCCTTGTCTGTCACCAGTGCCCACATGGTCCACATTTCCAGAGGATTCAGGCGGTGTACCAACAGGAGCCCTCTATATAGGCAAGGGTCCAGAGGTTGCCGTATTCCAAATGTTTTAAAGCCAGCATGGTGTGTGGGGTGTACCCCCAGCTTCTTCAGGCACATGCCCACAAAGACATCATCAATAGGAAAGAGCTCAGTCCCCTCCATGGCTGCTTGGAGGTGCCTCATTGTGGCTCTGGACATGACATAGCCTCCACCCCCAGCATAGGGTGGATAGTGGCGTGCCTTATACATGGAGGGTGGGATGAAGTATTTGACTCTGGTGTTCCTATTGGGCAGGGCCTGGTGGATGACATCTCCCACCAGGAGGTCCTGGGCTGGGTCCCAGCCATCCAGGAACTCTAGCACATTGGGGACATGGACAAAAACATCATCATCTCCCTTAAGCATGAAGTGGGCATGAGGACAAGCACTTGCCACCCAGCGCTGTAAGTGCAGCTCCTTAAGAGTTAGGTTGAAGAAATCCTCCGCAAAGTCCCACTGTAGGATATCATCAAACTCTCCACTCTCATAGACCAGCAGCTGAGCTGGGGGTGTGGGCACTGCCAGTCCAAGTAGGAACACCAGCTTCAGCTGCCTGTCCCTAACCCAGCTCCCTGCTCGGCCCCAAGTGCTGCGGATAGCTGCACGTTGCTCCACGTGACCAGGTTGTGATTTGATGGCCAAGAGCAGGAAGGTGTCCTTGGCACAGCCTGAAGGCTCCAGCAGGATGGAGAAATTTCGGCAGTGGCGGTAAGTCAAGAAGAGGCGGTGACGACTAGGCAGGGATAGGGAAGTGTTAGCCACTGTGCGATTGGGTAGGCACTGGCTGTGGTGAGCCCCAGAGGGTTCCCAGAAGGGTTGGTGGGTCTTGAGGTCCCCTTCCGAGGGGGCCTCCTTCTTCAGAAAGAGCAGACAGCTGAGCAGCAGTACCACGAGACTGTAGAACAGCAGCCAGCCCAGCCTGTGCAACATGGTGGGCCCTGCAGGAAGAGAGTGCCTGAGCCATTCCTATGCCCCACCCCTGACCCTGACAGCTGAGCAACTGCAACCCTGCAGCTAGTCTTTGCTGGCCTTCATTCAGGATTGCCTTTTATTCTCAACATATCCTTTGGCTCTTTGATTTTCTTCCCAAAAATCAAAGTACACCTACTTTTTTCTGCTTTTCTGCTGAGGGGAGGGCTCTGGGGTCAGTGTTTTCCCAAAATGACTTGCAGTCATATTGACACCGTAAACATTCACAGCCTTTCCAGGAAACTACCTGACAAAAGTTTCAGTGAAATGGAGCAAACTTAGTTTAGCTTTGTGTCAAATTCGTTCTAAGCATGAGATGACATTCAGAGCTCTTCAGATCCAAAACTACTGCACCAGTTAAATGGCAGGCCCTGTGTTGGGTGTTTCTGATGACAGAGCCCCAGGTACTGAGGTTAGGGACTGGAAGCTATGCAGCAGGGTAGCAAGAGAACACTCCCCACCTATCTTCTCTCATCGTTCTGGATTTCTTGGTGGAATGAGCTGAACTAAGGTTTTGGACAAAAATCACACAGCATGACAGGAAGAAAACCTGTATCAGGGAATATGAACTAAGGCTACCCTGCCACCTTAGCCCTTCCTACCACTACTGAGTTTTGAGTTCTGACTGCCCTGAAGTTTGTCAAAGAGAAGGTTGAGAAAAGCCAGATTTCAATTTCTCCTGTCATTTGCCTCTGCCTCTTTTCCCCTTTCACCCTCAGTCCCCTTTCCTTGATCTTCATTGCCACATCATCCCAATCTTTCTCCTTCAGTATGTCTAGCTGCATTAACATCATCCTTGTCCCTAACATTTCTAGTGCTAAGTCAAGACAACCCAAAATGCTTACCAAGAGATGTACTGAGAAGAAGTTAATAGAATGAAGTGGCTTGGGGAAGGTTGCTTCACCTAAGAACCAAGAACGCTGTCCTTGATAAGGGGACGTTCAAGCAAGACCTTTGAAGCAAGAGGTCAGATCACATAAAAATGTGGGGAAGTGAATGCCAGGCAGAGGCCACAGTTCATTGTGGAGCTAATGTAGCCAGGGTTGAGGAAGTGTGATCTGCTATGAATGAGGAGGAGGAAAACTAGCAAAGCCAAAGTGAAGTGAAAGCAGCAGCCCGAGGCGGTCAGGGAAGGGTTGAGGAGCACCACTGGAGGCTGTGGCAGAGAAGCAAAAGAATTTTCATTGTATTAAGGTCACGCCTGTCGCTGATGCTGCTTTGATGGACTATTAGAAAAACATGTAATAAGACAGGGAGACCCTCTAGAGAATGAATTAGAATTCAAGGCGTGGCTGTGGCATTGTGGCAGCTCCTGGATCTCAGTTATGCGGGATCTGCGGCAGTAGGGGAGGACCCCAGACGCGGGTAGGTTCCACTAGCAGAGAAGGGCGCAGAGCTTTGGTTCTGTTCGTGATATCAGAAAGCTCTCCCCGGCTCGCCAACTAGCGTAAATCCGCCCTCCGCCGTCGAAACTGCGCGCAATTCCCAACAGGAGAAACCGGATTGAGCGCCGCCGACGGCCTGAACTAAGGTCTCGCCAGGGGGCCTGCCTTGGTCCCACACACCTGCGCATCCTAATTTAACTCCTGCTAGCTGACGTCTTCCTCCCTCGCTCTGCTGACCCCAAAGCCGGGCGTGGGCTTCAGAGGGTGCTCACACCCCGCGAGAGGGATGCAGAGTCCTGAGGGGCTGCGCGCGTTCCTGGGGTGACAGCTGCCTGGGTTCCTCACTCTGACCCAACACGCTACCGGGTGAGAAAGGGCCAACGTCAGGTTCATTCTTCCAACACGAGGGTTTCCTGAGGACGAAAAGGACTGCCCTCGCCAGAGAAAGGACCAACACCGCTAGGGGTACACACTACCCCCCCCCAGGCGGAGCGCGGCGGGGGCAGATTGCCCAGGTGGGCCCGGGCACCATTCTGCCCTGAGAGGCGCGAAAGCCTAGCGGCCCTGGGGCCCCGCACCACGCCAGCCTGAGGTCACCCACCAGCCGGGAAGTGCGTGGCCAGAGTCGGCGCCGGTAGCCGCCGGGCAGCCCACGCCTCCTCCCCGCGCAAGAGTGGCAGCCGTCCCAGGCCCTGCACGATCTGTCCCCCTGACGTACCTAAGCGTGACTCCGGGTCGGGACACAGGAGAGAAGCTCGCACCGCGGAGCCAGAAAATGGAGCGCTTCCAGGAGCCGAGCTCGCGGGGCTCGGGCCGCGGGCGGAGGCGGGGCTTCCGGGGGCCGGGCTGCCGCGCGCCGGCCCAGGTGGCCTCTGCAGCACGGGGGCTCCGGCCCCGCCTTGCTCTCCCTCACCCTGCGGCCGCCCTCCCGCCCGGGGCGCTCCCGGAGACTCAGACGTGCGGCGAGACGGACTCGGAGGCGCGAGTGCGCAGAACAGCCTTTACTCGGGCTCCTAGAAGCGGAGCGCCTCCTCCGCGGTGCGGTACTGATTCAGCTGGATCTGGACCTCCACCGTCAGCGGCTCTGGCTGGTAGTCGCTGTCGAAGCTCGGCATCTGCGGTTTTGACTTTTCTGAGAAAATTAAAACATAAGCAATGGGTCCGGAGCGATGTGGGGACTGCGGTCTCCACGCACTGAACACATCCCCAAAACCCAAGTCCAGGGAGGCACAACTCTGAATTGGATCCAGGTCTGTTAATAGAGTAGGGAATAGAATTGCGTTTAATTGGAGCATTTAATGAGTCACAGCTGTTTGAGTTACAAGAAAAATTAGCTGTTTCTTTCTTAGACCATTTTAAGTTGAACTCTGACGAACTTATGCATGTTCAGTCTTGGGAATTTGACAATTATTTTCTTTAAAATGAAGTAAGTATGGCACTTTCGGGAAAACACGGGACTGAAAGCATTTTGATGAATTTATAACATTTAAACTTTCAGGTAGAAATTAGAATTTTGGAACACTGCCACCATGAACTCAAGGTTCCCAATACTCCAAGTCTTTTCTAATGATGTGAGTGGTGATATTTAAGAACGTGACTTTTGGGGCTGGGGTTGTGGGTTGGCTGTAGAGCGCTTGCCTAACGTGTGAGGCACTAGTTTCAATCCTCAGCCCCACATAAAAATAAATAAAATAAAGGTATTGTGTCCATCTACAACTAAAAATGCTTTTTAAAAAAACGAATGTGACTTTTGAATTTTTAATGGAATGTTTAAGTCAATGTTTGTTATCTTACAAGTAACCGTGTTACCAGTAGTGCATGGTTAAAATATCCATTCAAAATGCAAAATAAAACAGGTATGGAGGCGCATGCTCCGGAGGCTGAGACAGGGGGATCAGGTTCAAAGCCAGCCTCAGCAATAAACCAGGCACTAAGCAACCCAGTGAGACCCTGTCTCTAAATAAAATATAAAATAGGGCTGGGGATGTAGCTCAGTGGTTGAGTGCCCCTGAGTTCCTGGGGGGTGTGTGTGTGTGTGTGTGTGTGTGTGTGTGTGTGTGTGTGTGTATCAAAATAGATCAATGTACTTTAATGACTAATTGGATTGAAAAATCAATATATATTCAGTTTTCACTTTGTAACAAATGTAATAAGCTAGCTTGTCAAATTCGTTGTAACATCAAGGAAGAATATCCATAATTCTTTGAAAGCCTATTAAAATATTCCCCTCTTTTCTAATTATGTGTTGGTATGAGGTTGGATTTTCTTCATACACTTCAACAGGAATATATCAAGAGTTTTGCTGTAGAAGCAGATATGAGAATCCTGTTAATCCAGACATTTAAAAGATCTTTAAAACAAAAAGATCTTTAAAAACAAACCTGAAAAAAAAAATTAACTATCACCAGGCAGCCTGCCCATAATCCCAGCTACTCAGGAAACTAAGGCAGGAGGATTAGAAATTTCAGGACAATACTTTGCAGGATCCTCTCTCAAAAGTAAAAATAAAATAAAAAGGGCTAGGGATGTAGCTCAGAGGTACAGCGCCCCAGGTTCATTCCCCAGTACTGCAGAAAAAAATTAAACTTATCTCCACAGATAAGTGCCACAAATCGTGTGTCCACATATGCATGGTCTTGAAAGTCCAATAGTATGAACCTCCCAATTTGTTCTTTCTCAGAACTGTTTTGGGTCCTTTTCCTATGAATTTTAGAATCTGCTTGCTGAGCTGGGTGTATTGGCACACGTCTGTAATTCCAGCAACTCAGGAGGCTGAAGGCAGGAGGATCACAGGTTTAAGGTCAATCTCCACAAGTTCACTGAAATTCTTTCTCAAAAACAAGATATAACAAGGGCTGGGGATGTAGCTCTGTGGTAAAGTGCCCCTTGGTTCAATCTCTAATATTGGTGGTGAGGGGCAACACTTAAGTTTTAAAAAAATCTGCTTGTTGATTTCTATAAACCAAAGACTTGCCAGGATCATTCCATTATGTGGAATCTATAGATCATTTGAGAAGAACCTACATCTTAACAATATTTGCATCTTCTAATCCCTGCTTATAGTATACCTCTCCATTGATATAGATCATTGATTTCTGTTCACAATGTTTTATAGTTTTCAGTGAACAGGACTTCCACATCTTTGGTCACATTTATTCCTATATCATATTTTTCAATGCTATTTCTTCTTTGACCCACAGGTTATTTAGAAGTGTGTTGCTTCATTTCTAAAAATTTTGGGATTTCTTGGATCAGGATTTTACAGTTTCAGTTTTCATCTTCCCCCCACCCCACCCCCCATTTTATAGGATTTTGCAGTATTGTCCAGGCTGGTGTTGAAATCCTGGACTCAAGAGATCCTCTCACCTCGGCCTCCCCAGTGCTGGAACCACAGGCACATACGACCATACCCAGATCAAATTTTGAAATGTGCTGGTCACAGTGGTGCACGCCTGCAATCCAAGCAGTTCAGGAGGCTGAGACAGGAAGATCTTGAGTACAAGGCAACCTCAGCAATTTGTCAAGGCACTTAGCAGCTCAGTGAGATCCTGTCTCTAAATAAAATTTTTAAAAAAGGGTTGAAGATGTGGCTCAGTGGTCAAGTGCCCCTGAGTTCAATCCTCAGTACCAAAACAAAAACAAGTTTTTTAAATGTATCAGCAATGATTTCTTCAGGCATTTTCCCCATTTTTTAAAAAATATTTTTTAAGTTGTAGATGGGCACAATACCTTTATTTTATTTGCTTATTTTTATGTGGTGCTGGGGATTGAACCCAGTGTCTCATGTATGCTAGGCAAGCGCTCTGCCACTGAGCCCCAAACCCAGCCCCTTTCCTGTCTTTTGAGAAACTCCAATCACATGGATATTAGGCCCTTGGAAATTTGTCTCAAAATTTATTGATACTCTTTCATTTTTTCCTACTGATTTTTCTCCTTGAGTTTTATTTTGGACAGTTTCTATTGCTCAAGTTCACTAATAGTTCCTTTTATATTGTCTAATATGCCAATAATCCATTGAATGTATTTTTCATATGACACTATAGTTTTCATCTCTAAAAGTTTATATTCATTATTGCTATTTAACAGATTCAATTTTTCCTCAAGATTTTTTTGGGGGGGGGGTACTGGAGATTGAATCTAAGGACACTTTACCACTGAGCTACATTCCCAGTTCTTTTTATTTTTATATCTTTCTTAATCTCTTAGTATATTGTAGATATACATTATAGTGGGGTTTGACATAGTCATAAATGCACATAATATACTTTTCTGAATTTAAATCCCCAATACTCCCTATTTTTCTCACAACCTCTTCTCTAAGCCCTGATCTTCCTCCAGTCTATTGGTTTTCTTTCTATTTATTTATTTTTCTTTGTTTAATTGGTATATTATATATATATATATATATATATATATATATATATATATATATATGAGAGAGAGAGAGAGATAAAATTTTATTTTTATTTTAGAAACAGGACCTTTCTAAGTTCCTGAGACTGGCCTCACACTTGTGATCCTCCTGCCTCTGTCTCCCAAGTAACTGGAACTGCAGATGTGTTACTGCACCCAGCTCCTCTAGCTTCTTGAGTGTATGGAATAAATTATAATAACTGCTTTAATATTCTTGTCTACTGATTCTATCTTATATGTCATTTCTGAGTCAATTTTGGTTCTCATTATATATTGAATTTCTTGATTTTTTTCCATGCTGTGTAATTTGCCGGGGTTGGGGAGTGGGGGGTACCAGGGATTGAACTTGGGGGCATTCAACCACTGAGCCACATCCCCAGCCCTATTTTATATTTTATTTAGAGACAGGGTCTCACTGAGTTGCTTAGTGCCTCGCTTTTGCTGAGGCTGGCTTTGAACTCGTGATCCTCCAGCCTTAGCCTCCAGAGCCGCTGGGATTACAGGTATGCGCCCCTGCACCCGACTCATGCCTAGTAATTTTTTATTGGATGACAGACATCGTAAATTTTACCTGAGGGATATTTTTTTGTATTCTTATTGAGATTTGTGCTAAGATACAGTTAGGTTTGATCCTTTCAAGTCTTGCTTTCCCTTCCTGATCTTTTAAAAACACAAATCTGAAGCTTACCTAGTTCAGAAACTTCACTGGCCACTCAGCTTCTTATCTGACCAATTAGAGCTGCAGCCAAAAGAACCCTGAGCCACCTCAGCTTGGTCCTTCCTCCAGGGCACCACGATGCCCTTCCCCACCCATCACGCCGCACAGCAGGCTGCTGCCTCTGGGACATGCAGGGAGGATGGGGGTCCAGTCCTCAGGGTGGATGTGGCCTCCCCACTGGCTGGAAGATACAGTTCTCAGTCCCCCACCCTGTGGCTTCCAGTCAAGGCTGGCCCCTCAGCAGGGCCTCAGCAACCAGCCCTTGCCATCAGCCACCACATGCGTTGGCTCTTACCCTTTTTGGCCCCTTTCTTGGTCTTCTTTAAATCCTGAAAGAAAGAATGACCAAATAAGATGCTGACTGGAGTCAGGGGCTGCTGGGGAAGGGGCAGATATAGACCCCAAGGAGGCCTAGGGTCTCCCACTCATCCCAGGGCCTCTGACTGTTCCAGGAGGGTGGGGGGCTCCAGGTGAGGAGATGCCTGAGCTGGCCCACACTGGAGGAACATCAGCCGCACTCCCAGGGGAAGGTCCCTCTTCCATCCTCCCCAGACTCCTGGCAGGGCAAGCATTCTTGGAGAGGGGGAAGGAGAGGACATGGTTGTGGCCCACTGTACCCTAGTTAATGTCATCTTGTCAGACTCCAGGGTGCGGATGACCCCATAATTGCACACAGTGGACACCTGGGACTCCCCTGCCAGCAATGGCTCCAGGGCCACCAAGTTGCTACCCAGCACCCGCAGCACAGATGGTTCCTGGCGGAGCTCCTTGGGAATTTCTTTCTTTTTCCTGGATGTCTTCTGTTCCTGTGGTGGGAGGCCAGGAGGGTGGGACAGGGCCAGGCAAAGGACCATGCCAGGCATCTGTCCCCTCCATGCGCACGGTCCCCTGCTGTGGGCTGGGTGTGCCAGTACCTTGCGGGGTTCCTTCTCCGCTTTCCCTTTCTTATTTTTCCCATCAGTTTCCTTCTTGTCTTTCTCCCCTTTTCCTTTCTTGGCAGGCAAGGGAATTTCAACAGGAAGTGGCACCACAGCCCAGGAAACGATCTGGGGAACACGACATGGCCTCAAGTAAGCAGAGTCACCTCTCCCTCGCTCTTTCCAGAAAGGGGCTGAGAAGCATCTAACCAGGGAGTCAGACCTCTGCCCACCTTCTCCTCCACAATAGTCACAGTGGTCCCCGACAGTAGGAAGGCCTTGAGTGGCACCAGGTCCTTGAAGGTGTGCTGCATCTCATAGTTGTAGGAAATGACATCAGCCCAGGGCTTGTGGTTGGTGCTGAAGAGGACGGTCCTTGATTAGGGGGAGATGCAGACATGGGCGCCATCATCCAGGGCTGTCGCTGGGAACTTGGGACAAGGCTCTAAGGGGACTTCCAAAAAAGACTACGTACCCCAAAATAGCACGAGATTGGGGGGTCTGGCTATTGCCAGAGAGGACCAGGGGAGCAGGAGACCAGGAAGGAACATGGCACAGAGAAGACAGTGGAGAAATGGGAAATTTGCAACAACAAAAAATCAGTGCAGAGTATAGAAAGATTCCTTAAACAAAAGCATTAATATTGAAAACTTCTGTTCATCAAATGACACTATGTGGGGAGTGAAAAGGCAAACCAGACAAAGGGGAAAGTGACTTGCTGCGCTTGTCACCAAGAAGAGTGTATATCCAGAAGACGTTTGTATGCAAAAGGAAATCTTATGAATCAGTAAGAAAAAGACAGGCAATGTGATTTTTAAAAATAGGTAAGAGAATCAAAGAGGAACTCTCCCAAACACAGCATGTCCTCTGGGACAGGACTCTTGGCAGCCATGCCCGAGTTCCTCTGGGGTTGTAATAAATTTGCAATAAATCTCAGCCATGAGAAAGGCTGGATGCCAAGCTAATGGATCCAAATCTGGGCCTACTCTTGGAGACCCCAACACCAACAGAAGAGCCACAGTTAAACAACTGACAAGCATTAGGGAGCTGTGACAGGAATTCCTAAGTAAATCTATATGTGCTCAACTTTCTGAGACTCTACAAACTCCATTCATGGAGCTCCTACACTGTGGGAACTGACTTGGATTCCAGTAAAATTCTCCATCATCAAAGAAGTTTCCGGAACAAAGAAGGCAGAACGGGTGGCATGTGTGAAACCTGAGGAGGGGACGAGACTGGAGTTATTGAGGGCAAGGAAGAACCTGGCGCACAGACTGGAAGGTCCTTGCCACACTTCGTATGCCAGAATACATTCCAGATGGACTCAAAAGCTTGCATGAAAAGCTTCCAATCCCAGGGCTAAAATGCAATGAGAAAGTCGATCATTCTAGAAAGCTTAGCCCTTCAGGGACCTGAGGTTCAGATGCACTTGAGTGGAAGGTTAGGGTTCTGGGAAAGGAGTGCTGACTGCCAATCCCACACCTACCCCCTATGGCTCTTGGCCGAGGGGCCAGCTAAAGAGACTGTGGCCTCGGCTGGAGCACTCAGCCATCAAGATGCTCAGGGGAGGCAGAGGGTGCAGCCTAAGTCTGCTGTCACCCTGGATGGAGACCCCAGTCCTTGCTCTTAGCTGGGTCCTATCCTTACCCAGGGGATGGGAAGAGCCGGGGATCCATCCGTGGCCGCAGCTTTGCCAGCTCCTCTGCAGAGTTGATGGAGGAGAGGGGCACTGGCAGGGCTGAGTGGCCTGAGATGAAGGACAACTCTGACTCTCCCATCTCCGTCGCCCCCGACTCCTGGGACTCATTGGCCTCTTGAAGCTCCTCCAACAGCTGCACCTCTGACCCCCCTTGCAGCTCATCACCTACAAGTTCTGCGCTGGAGGGCCTGACAATCTGCCAGGGGAGACAGGACACACTCTCTGATGTTCCCTGAGTGTCTACAGACACAGAGATCAGGGTGATAGGGTTTTCTTTTTTTAGTGCTGGAATGGAACACTGCGCTTCCCGCATGCTAGGTAAGCAGGCCACCACTGAGCCACACCTCAGCCTTGCAGGAACCCAAGGCATGAGCAGCACACTTGGGAGACCTAAGATTAAGCATGCAACCTCCTCATGAGAAGTCAGAGGCAGCACGTTTCTCCTAGCCCTGCGGAGCCCCTGCTTTTCATGGGATGTGGATGGGCGAAAGACATCATGGAAACTGTAGAGTGGGGCCAGAAGCTCTGGGCTTGGGTATAAAATTCCAGGCTGCTCCCGTGTCAGGCTCAGATGTCACAGGGACACAAGGTGCTCACTGCTGACAATCATCCTGGCTGGGGCTGGGCTGGAGCCAGGGCCCTAAGCAGAAAGGGGCTGTGAATCCATGTTAAGGATTTTCCCAGGCCTCCCAGGGCTGTTCTGCCTGCACAGGAAACCCCGTGGGCCTGGGCGAGGAGCCACCCTACTCCCTGACTCAGCCGGGCACCTCAGCCAGCACGCCACCATACTGGCTCCCTTCGCCTTGCTCCTCTTCCACAAAGTCGTAGGTCACGTAATAGTTGTAGGTGATGAAAGGGCCTTCGGGGCCTGGCTCCGGGTCCCAGATAGAGGTGTCCACAACGCCCTTGACATTTCCAATGGACACCACAAACTGTGCTTCTTGTGCCAGGAAGTCTGCAAGAAGGAGTAACAAGACTGAGGAACATGGAGGGCTGGGAGTTGGCAGACAGCAAGACGGGGCCGGGAAGGCACTCGTCCCTGGATCCTCCCCTCCATGCAGAGGTTCAAGTCCCAGCTCCACCAAGTTCAATGGGAGTGATTTAGGATACGGCATTTGGCCTCTCTGAAGCCTTGGTTTCCTGATCTGTCAAATGGGGGTTATTTGGGGTTTGTTTGGTACTAGGGATTCAGGGATTGAACCCAGGGACACTCTACCACTGAGCTACATCCCAGTCCTTTTTATCTTTTATTTTTGAGACAGGGTTTCGCTGAGTTACTGAGGCTAGCCTTGAACAAACAATCCTCCTGCCTCAGCCTCCATGCCTGTGCCACTGCTCCCAGTTGTCAAATGGAGGTTCTAATAGAAGCTTTACAGAGCCAGTTCTGAGAGGGTGAGAGGTCGGGAATATTTGCCATCTCAGCTTGTGCCTGAAATGCTGAAGCTGTCAGGCTTCTGTCTGACCTTGGGAAGGCTCTGATGCACCTTGCATGATGGGCCACAAGGGGGTGAACTCAAGCCACCTCAAAAGTGAAGAAACTGGCTAAAAGCTGTGGAAGCCCTCCTACCACTTCTGTCCCCAGGGCCCAGTCACAGGGGTCAATATTTGGAGAAAACCCAGATCCAGAAGGTTTATTACATCTGATGAGGGCCCAGGTCAAATGGGGAGCCACAGACAAAGGTTCAAGGTGTGGAGCCGGGTCCCTGCCCCCTCCCTCCATGGCTGTACCCACCGCCACTGAGGCTGAATCCCCGGAACTGATGCTTCTCGTTGGGAGACACAGTGATGTCATCCAGCACGCACAGCCGGGTCAGGCTGTCGATGGTGAAGCCTCGGTAGTAGGGCACCAGGGCCAGCGGGTTCCCCTGCAGCACCAGCAGCCGCAGGTGCCTGAGTGTGCTGAGGCTGACCATCATGCCCTGCAGGTCTGTCAGGTCATTGAAGCCCAGATCCAGGGAGACAAGGTTGGGCCTGGAAGGTGGGGCAGGCCACCCAGGAGTTAGGGACCCTGGTGAGCAAGGGACATGTCCTACACCCAGGACAGAGCTCGGCCCACACACTTTGTTCTGTCCTGGACACAGGGTAATGCCCAAGCCTGCTTGTCCCCTCTCTGGAACACTGCCATCCTCAGAGCCCAGAGACAGCCCTCACAACCTACCCCCATGACCCAGTCACACAGAGCTCTCTAGCCAAAAGTCCAACTTCATGTGCATCTAGAAGGTTCTCCCTATTGACAGACAGGAAGTCACTGTGGGGAAGAGCAGGAAGGGGAGGAGTGGGATTGGAATGGGGACCTGGGAGGAGGGTGGGTGAAGCTGTAGGGTCCAGGGATCTCAAGCTGGAGGTCACTCTTCAAAGCCAGACTGGCACATGGCCACTGGGTTCGCCTCTTGGGGGACAAGCGTGAAGACCGTGCCAGCAAGTGGAAAGGAGACATTTCCCATCCCAGCCTGTGAAGGGCAGGAAGGACGGGCAAAGGCGAATCCCAGGGCCCTGGGTGATGAGCCAGGCACAGGAGGGAGTGGGGCAGCTTTTCCCACTGTCACAAACTAGAAAGCAAAGTGACTTCAGCTCTGAGACAGAGGCCAGGAAAAGAGCGGGGAACACCCATCAGCGGCACCTTCCACACAGTGAACTCACCCCCTCCCTCTCCTCCCTCGCCTCTTTTGATGGCCTGTCCTGCCCTTGATAGTCACAGACCAGTCAGAGGGAAGTATTCGAGAGGAACAGTTCGTGGGGATCAGCACACAGCCTTGACCCGACCTTCAAGAGAACTAGGCAACATCAGTACAGATGTCCTTTTGATTCCCAAACAGCCCAAGACAGAGGCTCACGTACAGGTTTCTACGTGATCCCCACTTGGCACAAAGCACCAGGTTGGGCATGTTTTCCAAATCAAAATCGGGACACTCGGTACTCTGTCAACAGCAAGAGCCTAAATTTGCTGTCCTAGGAAGTCCAAAGTATAAGGTTTCCTGTCTACGCTCCCTGATGGCCACAGGCAATGGAAGAAAGGAATCCCAGTTGGACAGGGCCGAGCCTGGTCAGGGGCCGCAGAGCAGGGAGAGGAAGGAGGAAATCATGAGAGAGGAACTTTCCTCTCCACTGCACCCCGCCTTCTAAGCAGGTGTGGCTGGAGCACAAGGCCTGTCCCGGGACTACCTAGGGGATGGAAGGAGGTGCCTTCCGTGCTGACCTCCAGCCCTTTCCAGGCTGTGACAGAGGAAGCAGGGGAGCTGCACCCACAGCACCACTAGCCAAGGGGCTGGACCCCAGTTCTCTTTGCAGGGTGCTCCCTTTGCCCCAGCTCTCCGTGGCAGACTTTTAGGGATGGTGGGTGACCCTCTCACTTCTCAGGTCTAGGATTTTAAGTTTTCCACTGTCACTCACCCCCCCGCCCCCGCCAAGGAGACAAAATCCAATGTCAACAACCAAGAGGGGACTGTTCTGCACAAACTCTGATGGATGCTGGAGTTGTAGTGACAAGCAGGGCTCCCCCTACTCTTCCCTGGATGTCAGTGGGATTTTTTTATTGTCATTCTGAGATCCTGAGCCGACTTTGCAGCCACCCAGAAGTTATAGAAGCAAGGCTCCCTCCCGCACCTGCCCTCCCAGCTCCCCAGTTACCAGTAGTTGTTGGTGACATAGAGACTCTCCAAGGGGCCCAGCAGTTTGTTGTGGCCCAGCCCCAGATGCTGGAGCCCAGGGGGTGGGTGAGCACACAGACACTCCATGCTGCGGATCTCGTTGCCATACAGCTCCAGCACCTAGTGACAGCCGAGGAGGCCCAGACTGGAGAGCTCCGCCTGCCTGCCTGCCTGCCTGCCTGCCCTCTGCCCGCGGCCCCGGGAAACTCAGGAAAGGAATCGTGGACTGCTTGGGGCCTGGCTTCCTGTGCCCAACTGGGCTGCATTTTTTTAAATGCAGGAGGAATTTTTTCCTGCAGCAGAGAGGGAAGTTTCCTTTCCCTTCTGTGAAGGTGACTTCCAAGCTTGGAAGGGGAGGTGATGGAGGTGTGCAGGAAGTTCTTGAAGACATGCAGTGGGAAAGTGTCCCTGGGAAAGCCCCAAGGGACCCTGATGGAAGAGGGAATGGATCCGACTAAGTGCATATGTGCAAACTGTCCTCCTCACTCACATGTGTCACCAGGGCCGAACCTGGTGTCTCCAGCCAGAGCCAGACCTGCTCTCTCCCTCCGTGGTCACTACTCTCGGTGTTCAGCTTAGGGTTGGGACCAGGCGACATGCTCAGCAGAGCACTCACGATGAAGCCCGCCTGCCTCTTTTCTTTGTGGAAAAACGTACCTAATATAAATTCGCCGTTTCCTCCATTTTTAAGTGTACCGTTCAGTGCCATCCATAATGCTGTGCCACCACCACCACTGTTCCCAAAAGCGTCATCACCCCAAACAGACCTCTAAGCAGTCACTCACTCCCTGTTCCCTCTCCCAGCCCACGGTGACCTCTAATCCCTGTCTATCTCTGTGAATTTGCCTCTTCTAAATATTTCACAGGAGTATAATCAAATGAGATTGGCCCCTGAGGGTCTGACTCCTTTCACCCAGCTTGCCGTTTTCTAGGATCCCTCACGCTGCAGTGACATATCAGAATTTCTCTCTTGAATGGATGAATTATATCCCACTACGTGGACAGGTCACCTTTTGTCCACGGGTGTGTGGTTGTAGACACCTGGATATTCTTTCCACTTCTGGCTACTAAACACTGATGAATAGGAAACTGTTAGGGACCCTGCCCTCTGTCCTTTTGGGTGTTGTGGGTCCACTTTTTGAGGAACATGGCCTACAGTTAAAGGCCTGAGTTTGGGCCTTAATGCAGAGCCTCCCTGGCCAAACCTGTGCAGGGAAGATCAGAGACAGGGTCTCGGGGGCTCCCGTACCTTGAGTGTTGGGGGCAGATTGGCAGCATTGACTTCCTTGATTTTATTGGCACTCAGGATCAGCTCCTCAAGGTTTACAAATTTTAGGAGGTCCTTATCCACCAGGCTCACCTGAAAGGAAGGGAAGGAAGTGAGGCCTCAGGAGGGCCAGGTGACATCGCAGCACAAGCCAACAGGAACACACAGTCCTTCCCGTCTTGCCAACCCCTCCATCCCTTTTTTTTTTTTTTTAAATTTTTTTAGTATTTATTTTTTTAGTTTTCAGCAGACACAACATCTTTGTTTATATGTGGTGCTGAGGATCGAACCCGGGCCGCACGCATGCCAGGCAAGCGCGCTACCGCTTGAGCCACATCCCCAGCCCCCCTCCATCCCTTTTCCATCTCACTGTATCCACTCGCAGGGCTCCAGGGCCACTTCCTCCCCTGCCCCTTCACTGACAGTAGCTATGGGATTTCCAGGCCAATGTCCTATGACCTTTGCTGGACCGTGAGATTCTTGGGAGGGCAGAGCCGTGGTAACCTACTGCCTGCCTGGCACCAAAGCTGGTTAAACTATTTAGAAACCACCCTGGCTTGTACGGAGCAAGGTCAGAGGAGAAACTTCAGCATCCTACCCATAAATCCTCAGTTCCCAAGGAACTGAGTGATCTCAAGGATACCAGGGGTCCTTCCTGGCGGGGCTTCTTTTCCCTTGAGCAACCAAATGCCCATTTGCCTAGGATGGAGGGACTTTCCAGGACATAAAACTTGCAGCACCAACACAGGGGAAAGTCACAAGCAAACTGGTCACCCTATTCATTTTCTGGTTATGTGTAACTTCCCAGTTTCTCCGTAAAAGGAAGCAAAGGCTCAGGAAGGCTGAGACTCCGTTTCTATGCAACTTGTGAACTGTTATTGATCTAAGCAAAGATTTTTTAATAACAGAAATAAATAAGTCAACACTATGCCAATGTTCTCCAGCCCCACCCCACCCCGGTTCCCACAGTTTAAAGGGTTTTATTTACTTATTTATTTATTTTTGATGGGTTTTTTTTTTTTTTTTTTTGGCTTTTTTGGAACTGGAGTTGAACCCAGGGCTTTGCAAATACAAGGCAGATACTTTGTCACTGAGCTACATCCCAGCACCCTCACAGTTTAAATAAAGTTTTATATATATATATATATATATATATGGCCCAGGAACAGTGGCACACAACACCTGTAAATCCCAGCAACTTGAGAGGCTGAGGCAGGAGGATCAGGAGTTCAAAGCCAGCCTCAGCAATTTAGCAAGGCCCTAAGCAAGTTAGTAAAACCCTGTCTAAAGGTAAAAAGTAAAAAGGGCTGGGGATGTGGCTCAGTGCCTCTGGGTTCAATTCCTAGAACCAAACCAAACCAAAGCTATATGGGTCCTTTGAAAGGTCTTTACTAGGACCCAGGAGGGCCGAGTGCAGGGCATGCTAAGAATTGGCTGTAGAAGAGGCACATGGACTCCCTCCAAGGGTGAAGGAGGAAGACTTTCAACAAAGCATGGCTGACTACCTGTTTGTTGTACAAGCTGGTGAGCTCAATGAGAATTCAGGGCTGACCTTGGGATCAGCTCTCACAGGAGATCCCCCTACAATCTGGTGCTCATCTGCAGCACCCACCTGCTTGTCCACCATCCTCAGCGACCGGAAATAGGAGTACAAGAAGGTGTCTTTGAGCATCAGTGGATTCTGAATGGCCAGTTCTCTCAGAAAATGGTCCTCAGCACTGGAGTCCTCCACCAGAGCCCACGGTGAGTGGGGACTACGCACCAGTCCCAGCAGGGCCTCCACAGTCTCCTCCCCTGGGCTCACCGGCTCCTCCTCCCTGGGGGTCAGCTCCCTCCAGGTTCGCCATGTTTGAGGAAGAAAACGCGATCTGTTCTGCAGTGTTGGAGGTGGAGAATTTCATTAGGTCTGTCATGTCCTTGTAAAGAAACTCAGTTGTAAGACTAGATGACTGAGGGTAAAGAATTTAGAAATCTCCATGAGCCACCAGTAATTTTGGCTGATGATTAGCCATGATATGAGTACAGATAAAGGTCCAATTCCTGTCTCTGGGAGATTAATTACATATTTGACACAATCTATGCAAATTCTTTTTTTTTTAAAAGAGAGAATGAGAGAAGAGAGAGAGAGAGAGAGAGAGAGAGAGAATTTTTTTTCAATATTTATTTCTTAGTTCTCGGCGGACACAACATCCCTGTTGGTATGTGGTGCTGAGGATGGAACCCGGCTGCACGCATGCCAGGCGAGCGTGCTACCGCTTGAGCCACATCCCCAGCCCAATCTATGCAAATTCATGAGGCTCAACAGGCAATGGCAGGGATATAAGAATATAATCAAGGAAAAGTTTTCCTAGAGGAAGTAGCAAGGCTGAAAAGGTAAGCCCAGGAAAAGGTAATTCAGGAAGTGGAAGATGAAAGAGTGCTTTTCCCAGAATTTACTCTCTTCCACCCCTACCTCCAGAAGAGGTGCAGTCTGAGCATAAAACCCAGAGTCTTACATGCTAGGCAAGCACTCTACCACCAAGCTACAGCCCCAGTCCAAGATGCATCTTTGAAACCCTAAAGCTTAGCAAATAGTAGGTGCTCAACCAACATCTGACTAAGCAAATCAATGAATGCTCTCAGTTTTCCTATGAAAAGGGAACACCAGCTTTCCTAGGCTCCTTTCCATGGAGTGATGGGGTGGCCCCAGCCTCTGGCCCATTCAGAACTCTCAAAAGACATTCCTGAGCACACTGGCTCTTGTCCCCACCCTGTGATGACACATCACCTAGGTGAGGACTACAGTTCCTGTGGCCCCACTGAACAGGTTCTGTCTGCAGGGTCAATGTACAGATTGAAGCTTGAGAGAAAAGGACCTTCATGGGCAGCAAACCAAATTTTCCTCTTTCACCCTGTTTTGAGGCTCCTCAACACTGCATTGCTCTCTGTCTCTCCTCGGCAGGGAAGGGTGGGCCAGAGGGTGCACTGCTTAGCCTTTTGAGCACTCAGGTTCTCCTCCAGGAGGGAAGCCTCTAGACAAACAGAAAGTGGCAGAGCCTTCCCAGCCAAGCCTCAGAAGGGGAGGCCCGTGCCTCTGCAGCCTCAGGGCCCAGGTGGAACCATCTCCCACACGTGGCTCTGGAGCTCCACGAAGCCAAGAAACTTCACCCAGTCAGAAGCACCTGCATGGTGCAGACTGGCCTGCTGTGCTCCGGATGGGAAGGTGCCAGGTCTGCACACTGAGGTCAGTGCCCTCAGGCCCAGGCGGAGCTTCCTCTGCCCACACCTTGAGCTTCAGGGTCGCCTTAGTCCACCCTCCCCGCCCAAACACTGAGAACTACCCCTTCTGGGGCGTCTCGGTCAGCCACCTGCTGTGTGTGGGCTCTGCCAGTCTCCAGGGCCGTCCCCCGGGCGGTCCCCCAGGCCCTCCAAGCCCCCCTTCGCACCCAGCTGCCAATGCCGCAGGGAAACTCGTGCAGACACAGCTTCCGCAGGTGCACCCGCACCACCTCGCTCAGGGTCTCCGGGGCGCTGCGGCTGCCGCTGTCGCTGTCGCTGTCGCTGCCGCTGGCCAGGGGCTGCTCCATGCCTGCGGGTGGGAGCCGCCAGCTTCCCGCGCTGCTAGGCAACGCCCGACGCGCCTCCGGCTCCGCACCCGGCTCAGCCCCCAGCACCTGGCACTGCCCCGTTCTCCTCCGTGGAGGCTGGTTCTCGTCCCCACCCTGTGAGAACCGATAACGCTGGGCCAGGAGGCTGCGGGCGCCACCGACCGCCGGTCCTCTCTCTCCCCGGGGGCTCGGGGCGGAGAGGCGGGTTATTAAGGGCCTTTGGCAGATCTGGGAAGGCGGAAAGAGCCCAGGGTCACGCATCTCCAGTCGCGGGGTTCCAGTGTAGGTCGCTCTGACCCCGGAGCCAGGGGGTCGTCGCTGTGGAACCCGAGACTGTTTCGGATTATTCTGGTCGCAATGAAGCTGGGCTGGAACTTGTGGACCTCCTGCCTCAGCCTCTCGAGTTGCTGGGGTAATAGGTGTGTGCCACCGTGACTGGCTCTGAGCACCTTTTAGTGTATGCAGGATATTACAGTTTTTGTAATGTAACCATCGCTATGATTTCCAACGTTTTCCCTCAATCTACAAGAAACCCTGTGCCCATTAAGCACTCAAACCCCATATCCGCATCTGCTCAGTCTCCGGCAAAAATGTTCTCTCCATCTTTATGAATTTGACTATTCCCTGTAATTGGTAAATGCAGCATCTGTGTTGAGACTTGATTTATATCCATAAAACTCAACAATTAAAGTGTACAAATTTGTGATTTAGGGGGGGGTTATTGGGCTTCAATCCACAAGTGGTCTACCAGCAGGCTACATCCCGAGCCACACACACCCCTTTTTAAAAATAGTGGAATGACTATTAAAACATAGATATTTTATAGAGAGGAATCATATACAGTATTGTTTTTTTGTATCTGGTTTCTTTCACTTAGAGTGATATTTTCAAGGTTCATCTGCAATGGACTGCATTTTTTATAGCTAAGTAATATTCCATTGTGCGAATAGACCATATTTTATGTGTTCATTCATCAGTGAATGGATACTTAGGTTGTTCCCACTTTGTGCTATTATGAATAATGCTGCTATGAACACTGGTGTACAAGTTTTAGTGTGAGCATGTTTTCACTTTTGAGTAAATACCAAGAAATAGAATCACTGGGTCATTTGGTAACTATATTTTTAATATTTTGAGGAACTGCCAAACTGTGTTGCGTATCTGCTCCACCATTTTTTTTAAAAAATTTGTATTTGTTAATGGATCTTTATTTTATTTATTTATATGTAGTGCTGAGAATCAAACCCAGTGCCTCACATGTGTGAGGCAAGCACTCTACCCACTGAGCCACAACCCCAGCCCATGGGCTGCACCATTTTATATTCACATCAGTAATATGTGAGGGTTCCAATTTTTCCATATTCCCATAGTTTTTATTAGTGTAGCCACCTTAGTAGACATGAAATGGTAGCTCATTGTGATTTTATTTGCACTTCTCTGATGTCTAATGAAAATAAGCATATTTTCATGTACCTCTTTTTGGAGAAGAATCTATTCAAATCCTTTTTCCATTTTTTAAGGAGTTAATTTTCTTTGTATTGTTGATTTGTAAGGGTTCTTCCTACATTCTAGGTACTAAGCCCTTATAGATGATTTTACAAATTTTCTCTTTCTATGAGTAATATTTTCTCTTTCTTTTCTTTTCTCTACCCCCTTTTTATTTTTTTTCTAGAGACAGTGCCTCACTAAATTGCTGGGGGTGACCTTGAAATTGTGATTCTTCAGCCTCAGCCTTCTGAGCAGCTGGAATTACAAGCGTGCACCACACAACTACTGGCTTTCCCCAAACTTTCTTGATAATTGTCCTTTAACCCAAAAGATTTTGTTGTTATTGTTTGTTTTTCACAATGCTAGAATGGAGCCCAAAGCACTCAACCACTGAACTGTACCCGCCAGCCCCCACAACAAAGCTTTTGGTTTGATTTTTAATTTTAATCTTCTTTTCAGGGGGGTACTGAGGATTTAACTCAGGGGCACTTTGCCACTGAGCCACATCCTCAGTGCTTTCTATTCTTTCTTATGAGACAGGGCCTTGATAAATTGCCCAGGATGGCCTTGAATTTGGAATCCTCCCTTCTCAGCCTCCAGAGCTGCTGGGATTGCAGGCATGGCCACCACACCCAGATAAATTGTTGATTTTAATGAAGTATAATGTATCTTTTCTTTGACTGCTTTTGTTTTGTTTTTGCCGAAGTCTGGTTGGGCACAAATCACGAGCCACTCAAGCAGGAACAAACTTTATTTCCGAACTCCACCAGCACACTCCCCACACTCCCTGGGTACTCTCCCTAACACCACCCACGCGGCCCCCAGGAACACCACACACCACCCGGAAGTCCCTCCACCGGAACTTCAACCACCAACTCGAACTCTCCAGGAATCCCCCGAGAGCTCAACCGGAACTCAACGGGAACTCCGCAAGAACTCAAAATAGGTGCCATCCCAACTGGGCTGTGGCTCTCAACATGTTTTCACCCCTAAAGAACTCTTCCCTGCTCCACAAAGCTGAGCTGTAAGCATTGTTCATATATCCTGTTCACCAATCCTTTGTTTGATCTGGGATTTGCAAATATTTTTTTTTGAATTTTTTAATATTTAGTTTTTAGTTTTCGGTGGACACAACATCTTTGTTTGCATGTGGTGCTGAGGATCGAAACCCACGCATGCCAGGCGAGCGCGCTACCGCTTGAGCCACATCCCCAGCTCCTGCAAATATTTTTCTCCCAGGCTAGGCTTGTTTTATCAGTATCTTTTTAAGTTATTTTATTATTTTTATGTTTTTTTATTTAATTTTTTTTGGTAGTTGTAGATGGACAGAATGCTTTTATTTTATTTGCTTTATTTTCATGTGGTGCTGAGGATCGAACCCAGTGCCTCACACATGCTAGGCAAGCACACTGCCACTGAGCCCCAGCCCCAGCCCTATCTTAACAGTGTCTTTAGAGGAGCCAAAAATTTTAATTTTGAGGAATTTTGACGGATTGCCATTTTTCCCCTAATGGCCCTTTGGGACAGCCATCTGTGTGTCTTTTTGACTGTCCTATGGTGGAATGTCTTTACTATTATTAGAAAAAGTTATCCTCAAACTGAGAAATAAGGCAAAAAGATGACCATATGTCCTTTGAAAGAATCAAATAAATACCCAGGTATCCACAGTGATTATAAATACATCAAAATTGGAGAGGGGTTTATGGCTCAGTGGTAGAGCGCTCACTTAGCACGGGTGAGGCCCTGAGTTCGATCTTTAGCACCACATAAAAATAAATAAATAAAGTAAAGGTGTAAAAAACTTTAAATAAATAAATAAATAAACACAGCAACATGAAGGACTGATGGCTCCTGGGATTTTAGTGAAGCAACTGGGGAGGTGTGCAGTCAAGGAAGAGCAAGCTGGGGGGCAGGTCAGAGTCCTGCTGGACTCCCACTTTGGAGCTGCCCACTGGCATCAGATCAAGATGCCAACGGGCATCTACCCAATGGCACATCAGTCATGGGACAGGAGTCAAGGGCTCAAAGAGGGCGACCACACCAGGCCATTTTGCAGTCACAGAAACGATGAGTTGCCCAACAGAGTTCATCTGCAAGGCAACTAAGACAGGAGACTCCAGTCTCAAATCCATCTCCAATGGATAGGGTTTGGGCACATTTATGGGATAAAGAAGCAGGGTGATTTAAGGTGTGGGGAGAGGTGATCGGAGGTGACGTCATTGTGGGCCACACATGTGGAATCTATCTTCCCTCTTCAAGAGAAGATGGTTCAAAAAATGCAGGCATCAGCGTGGTCTGAGGGACGGGATTTTCACCTTCTGACCTCCAAAGGTCACTTATTGATCACCTGTGCAATCCCCAGGGAAGAGTTGGCAGTTTTGATAAAAATGGCCTTCAAATCCCTAAAATGACCTGAGTAACTGTTACCATCCTGACCTGCACGTCAGAGGTGTCACATTACAGAGCCCGTGGTGACTAATAACACATCGCTCAGTTGCATGACCTCCAAAATTTGTGATTTGTAAAGTTAACTAAAAGCAAGTCCCAAAAAGCAAGTGAAGCAGATTTGGGGGTCTGAAGTGGTGGTCTGGGTGGTCCTTGCACCTCAAGATGCGCAGCAGAAGGGACTCAGCCAGGAATCCACTGCCACCTTCCATCCCACTCTCCCTCCAGCCCTGCTCTCTCTCTTTTCTCCTCTCATGCATGCTCCTTGATGGAATGGCCTGTGCCCACCTTTCCCTCACCACTCTGAATGGCTCCAATTTGGCTTCCACCCCAACAATTTGTTTAACACCCCCCAGAAAGTTCCTGTGACCTCATGTTGCCAGACCTAGTGAATCTCTTCAGGCTTATCTTTTTGACCTCTTCATGGCTTGTGATGAGGCCAACCATTTCCTCTTTCTGGAAAAACCACTTCTTATCTCTTTCCATGACAACATGATTTCTTGTACTTTTGCTCCTGAGAATGCCTTCCAATACTGCTAAATCCTCTTCCTATTCCTGTTCCACTGACCGAGTCTCCACACTCGGCTTCTGTTTCTTGGAATGATATCTCTTGGAGGATTACAGTTTAATCAACCACAACGTATTCATGGCGCCCAAGTTTAAATCTCCATTCCTTCCTTTAGGCTCCAAATGCAAATGTACAATGTGCCTCTGGGTGTCCTCACTTGAGAGCTCCCTAACACCTCTACCTCACCAGGTCCAAGACTCAGGGGTCACTTTCCTCAAGCCCCAAATGCTTCTTCTCCCAGAGATTCTCTCTTTTTGTAGAACCAATATCCCTCCGGTTGCCCAAACCAGAAACCTGGAAGCCTTCCTCAGTTCCTCCCATCCCACCATCTCCATATCCAGTCAATCATCACCTCTTATGAATTTTACCTCTTGTACGTTTTTCCACTTGATCCACACCTCTTCGTCTTCACTATCACTGCTCCCCTGGCCCAGAGCCTCACCTTTGGGTATGTTGAGTTGGAGGTACAAGTGGGACATTCAGGTGGACAGTTAGACCCAGAATTTGAAG